GTCCATACATGGCTTTCTTTAGTCGCCAGATTTTGTCCTGTTGTGGACAGAGTTCTTTAGGTGGCCAAAGGTAGACGTCACGTTGTTTACCGTCGTGGTCTTTTGCGATGGGTGCGTGTAGAAATGCTGTAGAGACGTCACCTAGTCGCGCTATCCAGTTTGGTCGTGACATTTGTAGTGCGAGAAGTGTCCGGAGTGTCGTGAACATTGTTGTAGAGGCGTAGACGGAGTCTTCGTCCTCGATCTTCTCTGGTGTAGCCTTTTGCGACGATTCGGCTTCGTACTCCTGGTCCTTTCTTTCTATGTACCCATCTTGTAGGTATCGCTTCTCTGATGACGTTGTCGTCGACGGTAGACGCATCTACTTCGTCGTAGACGTCATGTAGCTTCATTTGGTTTGACTCGTGTTTCATTCCTTCCAGTAGTTGTGTTTCGTCGTAACCTTCGTTGTCGAAGATTATGGGTTGGTCTTCTGAGGTGTCGTCGTTTGTGTAGGGGGTGATGGATTTTCCGTTGGGAACACACTGCGTTGATTTTCTGTCGTAGTGGTGGTGGTTCTTTGGTTGCTTGCTCCGTTGATCTGATTGTAGTGTCCTTTGAGGTCTTCTGTGCTTTAGTTGGTTGCATTACTTCTTCCGGAGTTAAACGTCGTAGTGCTTGTCGGGGTGGTGCTGGTAGCGGTGGATGTTGTCGTCCGGTTGGTGAAGTAGCCATCGGACTACCCGGTAGTGGTCGTGAACTTGACGTCGATGTTGACGGAAGTCGTGGAGGTGGTGTAGTGCGTTGTTGTTTTGTTGCGGGTTCCGCAACGATGTCGTCAGTAGCGTTCGTTTGTTGTCCGAAATCTTGCGTGGACCTTCTTTTCTCTGACGGTTGTAGTTGCGTATCCAACAGTGTTGCGAACGATGGGTTGTAGGTGTTCCGTCGTGGTGCCCATGGTGTGCCGGAAACTTTGTTCAACAGTGCGAGGTCGTATTTGAAGTCCGGTTGTAGTCTCCGTACTGTTCGTACCTTTTGTACGCCTGATTCCGTTGCGACGTAGTTTTCTCCGGTTTCGGAAACTTTTCCGAGCCAGATGCATTTCTGCATCCGTAGGTCTGCTTTTGGAAGTTTCTTGTGTTGTGGTGGAAGGTAAAGTAGTGTCTCGCCAAATTCGCAGATTGCTCGCTCGTAGTTTCTTCCCCAGCGGCGTTCAAAGCTTGTGTAGCCGTCTGAGTGAATGACGTAGCGATTTACCGTCCATGCTGCATGTCGTACTATCCAAGGTAGTAGACAGTGCTTTGTGGACATCGTCATGCTGTAGTTGCTTTCAACCTGAGCTTTGACGACGCGGATTTGTCCGAGAAGTGTTCTATGTAGTCGCTCAACGCTTCCTTGACTGTTGCTGCTGTAGGATGGTGAATGTCGTACAGTCATTGAGCCGACTTTAGATGCTGTTGCTTTTAGTAGTGCATTGAGTGTGTCTTCGTTGTCGCTTTGTAGTATGCCTTGTGTTCTTCCGCATTCAAAGATGAATGCTTGTAGGTTGTTGATCATGTAGTCCATCATTGATGGTTTGTCCGGAACCAATACCGCCATGCACAGTTGTGTAGTAACGTCAACTGCTGTTAAGACTGGTATGGTCTTCGGATCTTGTTGTGATTTGATGTAGGCAAAATCCACTTGGATGATGGGTTGTCGTGATTGTTGTTTCTTGTAGCTGTCCTGGCGTCCTTTGCCTTGAACGCAAATTGGACACCAATTTCTGTATGGTAGGTGTGTCAAGTTGTGTTCTGCTATTTGTTGTGGAGTGGGCTGCTGCGGTTGTCGTAGTCCTATTGCTCTGTGTGCTTCATGATGCTCGTGTTGTTGTTCCTCATCGTGGTTCTCCTGGATGTACTCGTAGTCTTTCTTCACGGTGAACCTTGTTGTTCCTTTCCATTGAAATGGTAGTGCTGCGTTGCCTATGACTGTCCAGTCATCTTTGCGTTGCGAAACTTCTCCAAAGTTGGTTGTGAGTGATTGTAGTTCTGTGAGGCTCAAGTGTGCTGATTGGTGGATGTCCTGGTCCATCTGTTGGAGTGAATAGAGTTGTTCTAAGTGTTGTGTGGTGTCTTATCCAGTATTCACCTTGTCTTTCCCAGTAGTCTTGGTTGTCCTCCTGTGCTGTGAGTGGTCTGTGGATTGTCTCCTTTGGTTGTGTGGTGTCAAGATTTGTAGAAGGTGCTGCTTTAGGTCTCCATATCTTTTGTGGTGCTCGTAGTTGGATCTTTGATCTGGTTGGTGGTGTGTCCATTAGCCGTTGTGGTTGTGAGCTCTGCCTTGTTGGTGTGGTCTTTGATGTTGCTCTGCGTGTAGGTGTTATCTTTCTTCTGAATCTGGTTTCTCCAGTCCAGTTGTCACCTTCTAGTCTTCGTTGTAGTTCTTGCTTGGAAAGTTGTGTTGGGTTCTCTTGTAGTTGTTCTTGCTCTTGCCCTTGTCTGTTGATGATGGTTAGTCGCCAATCATCTAGTTCTCCTTCAGGTATTGGGCAACCGCTGTTGTGTGGTGTGAATAATGCTTTGCGTGGTCGTTTGTGTACTCTGATGGCGTAGTCACCATCAAGTTTCCAGTAGTCAGTGTTTCCACCAAGGATCTGTCGTAGTCCTTGGTCTGTGTGGGTGAGTGGTGCAATTTGTTCTTGTTGTTGTACTGTTTCTCTGTAGGTTGAATCACAGCAATGGATTTTCCATTGTCTGTAGTCATTGGGTAGATGTCGAATCCTGTAGGGATGTCGATCTTCTCTGCTCGTAGGTAGAAAAGTCCTGAGTGTCTTATGAGGTGTGCTTGTTGTTGTCCATGTGTGATGGTGCAGTGTCGTGGAGTGAAGTCAAGTCCATATCCTCTATCAAGTAGTCTTGATGCACTGAGGATTGGATACTTCACATCACAAACGTAGTAGGGCATCATGATTCTGAAGTTGTCCTGCTTGTAGGGAACGTACTTGATGCCGTAGACAGGAATCTTCTTGTTTGTAACCGTGTAGAGTTGTGGAACCGATTCTCCACAAGGTTGTAGCGGTAGATCTGGTGCGTAGTCCTTCGGGCAAACATGTGTAGATGCTCCTGAGTCGATCAACAGGTGGTGGTATGACTTGAAGTTGGAGTACATGATGTAGTGTGTGATAGTGTCCTCAATCTTCTTGTTCCTTTGTTGTTGTCTTGCTGCTGCTATGTCAAAGTGTGGCTGTGTGTTGTCTTCTTGTAGGAATTGTTGAAAGCTCTTGCTGTGGTCGTTCCATGATGTTGTGTGTTTTGTTCTCTTGCCAAGTAGTGATTTGGATTTGTGCTTGTGTAGTCGTGAGTTTGCTTGTCTGATGTGTCCAATGGTGAGGTGTGACTCGTTGATGCCTCCAATGTAGTTTGCTGTGTCCTCATAGCTGTTGTCATTCCAATCCCAGCTGTTGTCATAGTCGTAGTCGTTCCAGTTCTCCTCCATGTAGTTCACCTCGTGTTGTCCTTCTTCTCCTTCGTAGTACCAGTCCCAAGTGTCGTTCACATCCTGAGGTAGTTCTTCATTGTTGTCATGATCTGCTTGTTCTTGTTCTAGTGGATGTAGTTCTTCTCCTTCTCCTATGTGCCATACTGGCACTCTGCAGTCTTGTGCCCAGTGGCCAGGCTTGCCACATCGATGGCATGTTGTGTAGTTGTTGTTTCCTTTTCCTTTTGATTTGCTGTAGTTTCCTTGGCCTTTGTAGCCTTTGCTTGATCCATATCCTTTGGATCCTGAGTAGCCTTTTCCTTTGCTCTTGTTGTATCCTCCTTTGTTGTAGTTTCCTTTGCTGCCTTTGTCGAATCCTTTGTAGTGGCCTTTGTTTCTGTACTTGCCTTTTCCTTTGTTTCCTTTGTAGGATCCTTTGCCTCCATATTTGCTTTTGCCTTTTGTAGTTTCTTCCTTTCCTCCAAATGTTGTCCACGTCCATGGGTGCTGTTCCACCATTGTAGTTTGTGCCAACCGCTGAGCTCGCTCTTGAGAATGCAGATATGGTCTTGTAGTAGTCCAGGATCACAGCTCTGATCTCGTTGTAGTTCGTGATCTGTCCAGCACGTAGTTGGAGATGTTGTTGAAGTGCTCCTTTGGTCTTGTTGAGTAGTATTGCAATCTTCACTCCATCTGGTAGTGCTGTGCCGTTGTCTTTCTCGTAGCGGTTGATGTCATACTCCCACTGTAGGAATTGTTCTTCAAATTGTGCTTCATTGAATGTAGGTTCCAGTAGTTTGGTGAGGTAGCCAACACTGCGTGTTCCTACTGGTAGGCTGAACCTGTTGTGCAAAAGCCGTAGCGTTTCACATCCATTGGCATTGTAGCGGTTTTGTTTGACCACTGTAGCTGCTGCACCTTGGCAGATGTTGATGAGGATGTAGTGTAGATCTCGTGAGAGGTCTACTGCTTTTGCTGCCTGTGTGGGGTCGCGTATGTGGGCTCTGATGTCTGCATCTTCAATTTGTCTTGTAGCTGCTTGTGCTAGTTGTAGTACCATGTCGAAGTCTCGGTCGATGAGTCCGAGGTATGCTTGTAGTTTGAACAGCCACTCTTCGTACTGTGAGTAGTCACCAGTGAAGAACGGTGGTGGCAGTTTGTATTTGTGTAGCCTTTGGACGTCTTCCTGCTCCTGTGTTGTTCCCGTAGTTGTGGCTCCTATTGTCTCCTCTGCTGTGGGCCCGTTGTCTGCTCCTGTAGTTGGTTGCGCTGATGCTGCTGCTGGTTCTCCTGACATGTCGTAGTAGTTGGGCATGTGGTTGCCTGTGCAGTTGTAGTACTTACTGCTGTTACTGGAGCTCCCCTATGTTTAGGATCTCAGCTCCGCTACCACGTTAAAGTACGTCGTTACTTTACTACAAGTGCAGGTGTTGTTTATGCTGTCACAAACACAAATGTAGTTTCCCAGCATGCGCTCTTTTGCTTGTAGACTCAAGGCCTGCGGTCGAGTAGTGTACATCATGCATGTACAAGGGACAAGTAGTACAGCATGATATTTGACAGATCCTCTGTCATGCACTCCAGCCGTCTTGCTGCACGATTTGCACCTCGAATGGAGACAGAAATTGCTTGTTTGTAAGAATCAGTTAGCCAACCCAAGCGATACAGTGTGAGAAATCCCGACAGTACCATGAGCTTCTTGTCTAGCAATGCTTGAAATCGGTGAGCTCTCTCTCTCTCTCTCTCTCTCTCTCTCCCGCACGCCTTTGGGGGAATTCAAGTCCCCGAAAGACATACCCCAAGGTGTTTAGCTAGACTCGAACATCAAAACATGGTCGCATTCTTCTACCATCAAAGTCACGCTGGTAGGTTAAAGGAAAGCCACGATTTCCAGTTTTTCTGACTTTGTATGAGTTTGTCTCAAAATCGGGGCTTTCCCAAGAATGGACTTCGGTTTGCCTTAGTTTCCCTTTCAAACCACCCCACAAAGAAATCATTCCAACTCAAAAAAAGACGAGCCACCCGTGTATAGTTCGATGTTCGATAGCAGCAATAGCCTTTTCCCGCTACTGGAACATATTCAACATGACGAAGTATGGTTGGGGGCGAGTCTAAACCAATACACAAGTTATTCTGACCTTTGGGCCCATAGAATGCAAGGATGGTCCCCTCCCAAAGTGGTCTGATTACCACTGAACCCAGGTTGACACCCCCCAAAGAGTAAACTGGGTGGTTGACTAATCAACATCACCATGACCTGAGAAGTTTAAGCAAGGCCACGGCATTTGTCTCCTTTAGAGGTGGGTTCAATGTGGGCTGATTTTTTCAAGCTCCCTATTAAGAAGGCTCCCCCTCAAATTGCCAACAGGCGGTCGACAAACTGCGCACAAAGAAGCAGGCCCAGGCCCGACCTTCGCGCCATATCGCCATTTTCGAGGAAGATTTGACCAGAAGTCAGGCATCTGTTACTCTTCTGGTACCCATCCACCCCAAAAAAGTAAACTGGTTGGTTGATTGGTATGGGGCCAACATCAACCCTCAAATGGTTTGGATTTTTTTCCAAGCGGCGAGGCCGTCAAGGCACCTACCCCCGCACACGAGGTTTTCCCTTCCGCTGGCTCGCCTCGCGGCCGTGACAAAGCGCGCCCACCAAGCCCCGCAGCACCTGGCGCGTCTTGAAGCCGTAAACCAAAAGGTAACATGGGGCTGGTTTAAGAACTTCCGTTTGGTTAAGGCCCCAGGAAAAAAGAGAGAATATGTCCAGCAGTGCTGAATTCCGTTTAAAACCAACAAGGCAAAAAAGCAAAAAACAAGAACATATCCTTAAGCAAATGGAGGTCAAAACCTGATTTGTTTTTTCTTGAACCTGACGCCATGAGCCTTCCAGCCATGGAGCTCCAGCGGCCTGGTTGGAACCGATCGATCCACGTCTCGGCCAAGGTTCTGCCGGTTTGGTAAAAAATGAATATGATGTTTTTCATTTTCCCTTCTTGGGTTTAAAAGGAATTCAGCACTACTGGACATAGTTGCTCATTTTTTCCTGGGGCCTCAACCAAATGGAAGCTGTTCAGCCCAAATTCAGTTCTTTTCTACGGTGTGGCCAGCAGCCGGTGAATCATGGAACGCGTTGGCGTCCATTGGTGGAGTTGGCGTGCATTGTCAAATTGCAACGGCAGTTCGTTGCAAGTGTCTAACGTCGACGGATCTAAGTAGAACCCGTCCGAGTCTTCCCTCCAGTGGCCTGAAGCCCCACTAAACGGGCAGACCAAAGGACTGAAGACCAAGGTTGGACCCATGGACTTCAGAACTTCTTCCTTTCTTTCCTTTACCAAAGCAAAACCCAGATGGACCACAGCTGGAACACCACCGAAAAAGGGGTCAGATCCACTGCTTTTTTTGCAAAAAGTGCTGCGAAACTGGTAGCTCATGCGGAATAGGGCGCCCTTCGGTTTCATGTTTGCAGGAAGGCCGCAGCAGGGTCCCTTTTTCTACCTCAGTGTATGTATTGCTCAAAACAAAAAACACGCACACACACACACACACTCAAGTTGGGGCATGGCCGTTTGATGTCCCTTTAAAGCCACACCAGCCGGCATTTTTTGAAAACCCCGGTACACCTCCAAGGGCAACACTTCAGAAAAGTGGACCACTATTTCTCAGCCCAAGGGACCCCCAAAAATAAAACATGGGAAAACTTCGGGCTGACATCCTCGATGTCGGCCTACAGCCATTGCTCAGCTCTGGTAAATGAACATCGAGCCAAAACCGGTGGAACCCATCTATACCTAAGGACACCTATGTGTTCTTCCCCTCGCCAAACGCGATGTCAAATGGGGCCCTTTTGAAAAGAACCAAAGTCATGTCTCGGACCCACCCACCCAACCTGCAAGAGACCAATCGTGGTCGGCAAGTGTCGAAAAGATCCGAGAACGTGAAAGGCAACCAACATGCAACCAGCCCTCATGATAAACCACAATGACCACAATGATTGTGTAGACCAACCATTGCATGGAAATGCAAAAAAGAGAGAGCAAAACTCTGGCACCCCACACATGCTCCGAAAAAACAAAACCCGCAGTCCACTTGGGCTGCATCCCCCCCCCTGGAGTTCCTCCCCGTTCCGCTCGAAAGAGCGGCAACTCTAAGCCCGGCACGGTGGGGCTCCCGAGTCGCACCTCCCAAACGGCCCCGAGGGCCCATACGAGGTATGGGCGGCTCTCCTCTTTTTGTCTAGGTGCTCCAGTACTGTTGACCACGGATTAATAAACCCCTGTTTATCAATGTCGGGGTGTCCCTCTCCAAAAGTGATGAATCACCACTAAAACCGACACCCCCATATTAATAAGCAGGGGTTTATTAATCTGGGGTCCTCCAGTAGAGAGGCTAGAATAAGGGTACCAACTTTGTTCTGCAGTCTATTTTAGTAGGGGAACCCTCCCCCCTAAAAGAAAAGGTAAAAGGGCACTACTGGGGGGCCATTTTGGGGAGTCCCCCCCAAAAAAAAGACACACCATGTAGCAAAATGGGGGAGGCCGCACCCGTGCAATGGACAGCTGGGGTCTAATTATGTTGCAGCCAAGAAGCCTAACCCGAAAAGAATGTGGCTGCAAAATAGACCCCAAGCATCCACCGTATTTATTGTACAGGGCGGGACCCCTATATTTGGCTTCGGCTTTTTTGGCGTTACACCTGAAAGAAAAAGTGCGGCTCGATCCCTAACACACACACACACACACCCACCCACCCCCCCACCCACGCACGCACAGACACAGACACAGACACAGACACAGACACAGACAGAGACAGAGAGACAGAGAGACAGAGAGACAGAGAGACAGAGAGACAGAGAGACAGAGAGACAGAGAGACAGAGAGACAGAGAGACAGAGAGACAGAGAGACAGAGAGACAGAGAGACAGAGAGACAGAGAGACAGAGAGACAGAGACAGAGACACAGAGACACAGAGACACAGAGACACAGAGACACAGAGACACACAGAGAGACACAGAGACACAGAGACACAGAGACACAGAGACACAGAGACACAGAGACACAGAGACACAGAGACACAGAGACACAGAGACACACACAGAGACACACAGAGACACAGAGACACAGAGACACAGAGACACAGAGACACAGAGACACAGAGACACAGAGACACAGAGACACAGAGACACAGAGAGAGAGACACAGAGACACAGAGACACAGAGACACAGAGACACAGAGACACAGAGACACAGAGACACAGAGACACAGAGACACAGAGACACAGAGACACAGAGACACAGAGACACAGACACAGAGACACAGAGACACAGAGACACAGAGACACAGAGACACAGAGACACAGAGACACAGAGACACAGAGACACAGAGACACAGAGACACAGAGACACAGAGACACAGAGACACAGAGACACAGAGACACAGAGACACAGAGACACAGAGACACAGAGACACAGAGACACAGAGACACAGAGACACAGAGACACAGAGACACAGAGACACAGAGACACAGAGACACAGAGACACAGAGACACAGAGACACAGAGACACAGAGACACAGAGACACAGAGACACAGAGACACAGAGACACAGAGACACAGAGACACAGAGACACAGAGACACAGACACACAGACACACAGACACACAGACACACAGACACACAGACACACAGACACACAGACACACAGACACACAGACACACAGACACACAGACACACAGACACACAGACACACAGACACACAGACACACAGACACACAGACACACAGACACACAGACACACAGACACACAGACACACAGACACACAGACACACAGACACACAGACACACAGACACACAGACACACAGACACACAGACACACAGACACACAGACACACAGACACACAGACACACAGACACACAGACACACAGACACACAGACACACAGACACACAGACACACAGACACACAGACACACAGACACACAGACACACAGACACACAGACACACAGACACACAGACACACAGACACACAGACACACAGACACACAGACACACAGACACACAGACACACAGACACACAGACACACAGACACACAGACACACAGACACACAGACACACAGACACACAGACACACAGACACACAGACACACAGACACACAGACACACACACACACAGAGAGACACACACACACACACTTGACACGCATCCGAGCGAGCGCGACTGCATCCCGAAACTGACAAAGCAAAGTAAAGTATCGGAGTTTCGTCAGTTCACCTTCCCGATGCACTCCCATGTGGTGGCACCTCGTCCTAGCCTGCAGCACCACCACATGGTACTAGCAAAGGGGGCCGGTGCACTGGTGCAGGCTGACGCCAAGTGTTGAATTTGGCCCTTTGGAACAGGGTTTGCACACACACGCACAAGAGCATCCTTCACTTGAGTAATCAGTGAGTTCCCGCTGGATTTCGGGCAGAAACTCTCATGGCTTCTAAAACATCTTGAGCATGATTCATGACCACCTGGCCCTGGATTCTGGATCAAAGCCATGGCAGCAGGGCCTGCGAAAAAGGAAGGGATCCAACCGGAGCCGGGAGAATCCCCCTCGGGCTTCGGCGGCGAAACCGCGAGAAACCCCAACCCGCGACTTGCGACTTCCTCTGGGGCCCGCTGCGGGCAGGAAACCGCCCTGGAACTCCAGCGACAGCCTCGCTGGCCAGGACTCGAAGGACTTCACCGAGGACCGGCGGAGAAAAGAAGGGAAACTCCAAGGAGCTTGCGGAGACTGTTCAAGATAACGGGGATCTCTGCTGGAATTCCAGGAATTCTAAAGGCCGTTGCCCTAGAGTTCTTCCAGTTGACTTGTTCATGCTTCACCTACTGGCGAAAACAACACGCTCATTTAGATTGTGTCTACACATAAGTCAAGTCCGTTTCACTGGAAATGGACAGCACGGCAAAGCACGATGGAATCCTATCAACTCTTCAGTTTGACCTGTCGTGCCTGACGACACCACTTCGATTCACCAGCCATGGCTACGGTTTGAAGTTCAAAATAAAGCGGGGGGACTTCAATTGGGTAAACCCTGCCATGTCTCTCGGATCCTCTCGCATGTTTGTTTCTTTGTTTGGTTTTCATAATTAGAGTTCGGCCCAGTTATAGAATGTATATTTTATTGCTTGCTTCACGTTGAGTCGCTGGTAAGATGTAAAATGTATCCTAAGTCTACCCCAGTTTTGTTGTTCGTTTTGTTGCGGGCCTGTTCACGAACACCAGGCTGTTTGTGGCTCATTTCTGGAGACCAAAGCTCCGGTGGCTGTTTGTGGCTCATTTCTGGAGACCAAAGCTCCGGTGCAAACTTTCCGGGGCTGTTCGAGGCACACCAAACGAACTCTATGATGACCCTAAAACTAGGCTGGAATTAGGACCCCAGAATATATATCTATATATATATATATGTATGGTAACCCCCCCCCCAGGGCCTATATATATATATATATATATATATTTGCCTGGTTAGTGCAAAACAAAGGGACCCCAAAAAGCAAAAAAAAAAAGGAGCTAATTCTGGGGAACAAAAGGGATCCCATACTGTGGATGGGCGAAATCCATTCGCACCACTTTGAAACCATGGTGGAAACCATACGGTTTGTTGGTATTTACGTTGGAGAATCGAAGCATTCCAGGGCTTCTTAGGTGGTGCGAAAGGAGTTTGTCCATCCACACAGCAGGTTCTGTTGACGCCCAAAAGCGGCACGTGGGGGTCTTTTGGGGGTCCCAGACCTGCCAGTCCCCCCCCCCCCTCACTTGATGGAGTTCCCGAAGTGGCGCTCGTCTGTTCTGAGGGGCTCCCCCAAAAATGGCAACGGTGTGCCTTTTGATTTCCCTCAAAAGGTGTACCCCCTCCCCCCCCAAAGAAACAAAAGAAAGAAAAAGGCAGACCCGTCCTCCATTTCAGACATCATTCTCATCAAAGTGCCCGAAACCAGTTGGATTGTTTTTTTGCAACTGGGTTTTAAGAAGGATGGGCGAGAAAAAAAAGGGCGCCGATCAACAGGGTTCAAACCCTAAAAATAGCTTTAAGGGGAAAAACACTGGGAGAACCGTTGCGCCATTATTGGGCCCCCCCTAAACCTTTAAACCAAAAAAAATGGGGGGTCCCCTAAAACCCGTTATATATATATAAACCATAAACAAACAAAAGAAGAAACAAAAGCTTTAAACAAAAAAAAAGAGAAAAAACAAAGCACGCCCACATTGTGTGCGGTTCTGATCTCCGAGTGGCAGAGGCTTCTCCGCGGGCATCTGGCCTCAGCTCCGGGCGAGTTCCGCCATCTCACCGAGTCGAGACCCGAGACCGATTCCAAAACGCGCAAACGGGCCACGTGCAGCTCAGAAGGCCGGGACGGTGGCCGGAACGGTGTCCTTCTGGGCTTCTTGGCGGGGGATTCCTAAAAAGATAGGCTTGCCGCTTCAATCCTCAAAAAGGTGTGGCGATTCCAGGGAGATCCGTCCATTTTGAACCAAAAGGGACACCTATGGTAAGTGGAATATGCAAGTGGAATCGTCTAGCAGTACCCTCCCCATGCTCTTCAGGCACCATTCTCTTCAAAGAAAAATACAAAACCCTGGAAAGTGGGCGGTTTCCAAAGAGAACGAGGGAAGAGAATGACCTTCGTTCAAGCCTCCAGTCCCCTGAGCCTCTTAGCCACGCCCAAATCAAGCAGGGATCCTTACATTCTCCACCTGGCCGTGGGTCAAAACCGTTTTGGAACCCATTTTGGGGTAGATGCACCACCCAGTTTAGTCTACTGTAGTGGGGATTGGGATATTTTGGCCCATGGCCACCTGAACATTGCAACTTGTAAATGGCGGGAAACCTTTTTTTTTATTTCGGTGCTGAACAAGCCAGCCATGTTTCAAAATGGCCAAATGGAGATCTTTCAAGCCCTGTCAAGGTTCATCGCCTTTGACGCACCGAAGCCGGAAAAGCGAGGCGGGATGCGGAGCGCGCTGCGGCGAGCCGAAATTTCGCTCCAAGAAACCGAGCGAAAACCCTCCAAGGAGTTGGCTGTGGCAACCAAAAAACCGGTGACCCCAAATGGGTTGCCCTGGCAAGTGGAAACTGGAAACCCAAAACCTGCGGTTGGCCCCTCCGATCGTTTCATTTTGAGCCACACCCAGTTCACCCCAAAGCTGATGACAATCGAAGGGCTGAGAAACGGAGGATGGAACTAGAGCGACTCATGAATGTCAGTACAAACCTCCTCTGGTGCCTGAAGGGGTCTCCAATGTTTTGCTTCGCTGCGAGTGCGCTTGGCAAGATTGAATGCGGAAATCAAGAACCAAACTTTTGAAGGCGGAGGTTCAGCGGCTCCGAAATCTCAGGCTGTAGCTTCACACAGGGGTCCGCTGATTGACTAAGGTTACCCAAAACCAGCAGGCTTAAGTCTGTCTGCCTTCGGGTAGCCAAAAAGTGCAACCCCGGGTTCACAATTTGGACAAAGTGGAAGGATTCCAGTCTCCATTTCCACGAGAGAAAGCGAGAGGCAGAGGGAGAGACTCACTTCCTGAGAGGATTGGCCAACAAAATCAGAACTTGTTGTTTGCCACCAAAATAGTCTTCCCAAAAAGTTTAAACTCCAGGAACTCAGGGAGTGAGGAGAAGGAGAGAGCGGTACATGTCGGCAATTTCTGGCGTTTAGCTAGACTGGACATCAACATTGCCTCCCATCAATGTACTCGAAAAGCTCCGAAATACATGGGACCCCTCAAAAATGCTCAAATGTGTTATCGCAAAAGTGGTCAAAAAAACAAAAAACAAAACACTTCTGGTGATCAGCGAGGAATGAGGGAATGACCCCTATAAACCATCCCATTCCTTCAAGGGAATCTCTAGGTTCATTCCCTCATCCCCTACTGCGCACCAGCAAGAAAAATGGTGCAACATTCTCGTTTCGCTTGTGCATCTTTTGGCACCCCCCCTTTCTTGCTGGTTCTCAGCAGCGAATGAGAAATGGAATGACCCCGAAATAAACCTTTGGCTTCCTTTCGAGCATCCCCGTCCACCGGTTCATTCCGACGGCACCCGAAAGGACTCGAAAGGTCTTTCCAATTGATTAAGCGTGCTGGAACAAAACATAATGTGTCCAGTAGTGAAATCGATTGCTTTAAAACCCAGAAAAGGGAAACTCGACCAAATCTTCAAATTTCAGCAAATGGAAGCTACCGATCGCACCTGCCAAGTTTGGGGTGCTGTTCAATCAGACAAAAAATAAGAAGAAAAAGGAAAAACAAAAAGGTGGCGCCTAACACAAAACACACGTTATTATATTTGTTAATATATTTTTCCGATTTTTTTATGTGTTTAACAAAAAAACAAAACAAAAAACGCCCCAGTTCCTTAGGGCCCGGGCCGAGCACCACGCGCCGCAGATCCTCCAGGCAGAACCCGCTCCTTCAGCTCCGTGGCTCGTTGGAGTTGCTACCCTCTGCGGCAAGGGCAACCAGGAGACTCTTCAGCCACTTCCCCATTCTTTCCAGGGATCCTTGAAAAGAAGGGAGAATGAACCCCTAGAAACACCCCGCTCTCGTGGCGTCGGGCTGAGCACGACGCATTCCCAGGAAGACCGCTGGGACCTGGCGATTAGGACGTTCGCCAGGTAGACCCTAAAGCACCTTGCCTCACGCCTTCCGATGGCGATCCCACAGTTGCAAGGTTTCGGGGCAACCAGTGCTTTGTGCATGGCCAAAACATCGGAGGCGTGACAGTTTTTGGAGTTGCGAACCCCTCTTTGTGGTTTTAAAGAGAAATCAAAAGGACAGCTGTTTTGCCGTTTGGAGGTACCAGCCTAAAAAAGATGAGCCGCCCATGTTCAATTGTGCGAATCAGTCCTGTTTCAGTGCCTGACACTCCGATTCAACCAGTGCTGCATGAACCGGCATTCCCAATGAGCCAGGCATACCGAGGAGTCTGGCTCCAGGATGTAGAGATACCTCCCAAGCATGCCAGCTCAAACACACATGGAAAAATCAGCTTGCGAAACCAATATGAAAAGGTGCCTTCTTCCGAGGCCATCAATATGAAAAGGTGTCTCCTTCCGAGCAACTCAATTTTTTTGGTGGCTTTTCAGGACAGCCAAAGTGGTGAAACCGGCTGAAGCCAGTAAAAGTGGTTTCCTGAAACCGGCTAACACCACTTTAAGGTGGAAGCTGAAACCAGCTGAAGCCAGCTGAAACCGGCTTGCTGGGAGTGGGTCCCCTTAAGACCCCAGTAGGCTACGGACGAGCCATGTGGATCGGGATCCGAAACCGAGGGCACGCGCCGGAAAGACCTCGGAGGCGCTGGGATCAGGTCTTGGTGAGGTCCATCTCTGTTTTGGCGTTGCTGCCGTTGTTTGTTTTTGTTGGCAACAATAAAACCCGCTGTGTCTTTTTGTTGCTTAAGTATGTATGTATAAAACCCCATGCGGTTTGGTTTCTTTATATGTAAAACCCAATGTGCTTTATGTCTTTTCAAATATGAAGCCCGTAATGTGTCTTTTTGTCTATTGCCATATTTATACATACATAAACCCAACACTCAACGGTGTTTTCCGTTGCAATTAAAACCCCAGGCTTCCCAAGGTTGCGTGAGGGCTAAGGGGATGCAAGTGCCCTCAAGTCAGCGTGGCTATTCAACATCTGGACCATGAAGCCAAGTGACAAGTGAGTCACTTGCTCAAAACCCGTTCTTAAAATGGTCGACCCAGAACCGTGTAAAGAATTAAGAAGGCGCATATCCGCAGCTATTTATGGTTGGGATTGTCCCCTACGAACCTTCATCAATCCCCGGGTTTTGAGCACGTGGCTCAAGTGAGGCCCAAACAATGGCAGAGTCCGCAGCTGCAAAGTAGGAATTCCAATTGTGAGGTGCTTGCATCAGCAAAGTGTGGCAATCCTAGGTGGCCTTTTGCAAAACTAGACGGCCCTGATAAATGGAATAAACCATCTAAACCAGGGACCAAAAAGGACGCCTATAGTGGCAATGTCTCACGCGCTCATCTCCTAGTCATGTTCACGTGTGATCTTAATACGCTGGAATTGATCCGCGTGGTTTAGCAGCGGTCACTGGATTTTCCCAAATCAAAGTTGATCAATTGATTGGTGGTGCCGTTGAAACGATCGCGTTCAACTGCCGCTTTTGGAGGTTCCCTTCAAAGGGAAATGGGTGGATCTCGGAAACCCTGCCAAACCGCATGTGGTCTCATGCGACGGTCCGGGGTAGCTTCCAACCATGTCCTTCTTCCTTTTCTTCTGGACATCCAAAGAAAACCGAAAAAATAATAATAATGATAATAATGATAATAATGATAATAATGATAATAATGATAATAGTAATGATAATCATAATAATAATAATAATAATAATAATAATAATAATAATAATAATAATAATAATAATAATAATTTCCCTCTTTTCTTCCGGAAAAAAAGAGAGGCAAAAAACGGAGAAGACCCCCAAAAAAAGGCGCGGCAACCAGACGCAGGTTTTTTTGCGTCGGGCCGTCTCGGGTCGGTCTCTCTCTGAGAAGCCCGGGCACAGCTTCTTGGCGCAGAAGTCGCCGCTGGCCACCGCCACGTAGGCCTCAGCGAGAAGTTGAGACACCGCGCCGACGTGTGGAATTGAGGCGGCGGCCGAAAATAGGTATACCCAAAATGGGGGGCAAGGTTTGGTAAATGGAAGACTAAAACCTGCGGTCCAATTCCGGGTGGTTTAATTTTGACCCATACCCATATTAATCCTTTAGTGGGGAATCAGACCACTTTGCGGGGAACACACCCTATTAATGAACTGGGGGTGATTCATATGGGGTCAACATCGCAGAGGACGAAGATGTCTGGTCGCGGGCCGAATCCCTCAATTTCCGAAAACTGTTTTCTGGAAGCACAGTTGAAGAGTCTCAAGTGAAGGAACGGTGGGGAAAAGATATCAGAGAGCGTATCGAAGAGCCAAACTCAACCCTTCGGCACCGTATCCTCGCGTCGAAGCAAAACAAGTCGCTTAAGCGGATCTTCAGGAACCAAAGGCCTGCCATTCGTGTGGTCTGACCGTAGGAGACCTTTTTGGGAACTGATGCGCTTCCCTGACAGACGGGGCATAAGACCAATTTCCAAACCGGGACCCATCTATTTCGAACCAAACTGACCGATCAAAACAGGACACCTATGGGTCCGACTTTTTGAGGCGTCTGAAATCCGTGGGATTTCAGCCCAGTTTAGAGCACAAGGTTTCTGGAAAAGAGAATAGACGAGCTCAGAAACACAGCTGGCGAAAGAACGCATACCCTCCCACCAACTAACATAGGAGCGCTTCCATGTTAGTTGGTGGTAGGGTATATGGGTGTTTCCCAAAATTGGGGGACCAATTCCTCCAGATTGTTTCCTTTTTGTTTCCCTTCACTGATCCTTTTTTCTAAAGGGCTCCGATTCCGATTTTTGAGACACACCCACATCAGAAAAAAGGTGACTCCTTGGTTGTCTACTATGCTACTATATATATATATACAGGTAAATGGATCCACTGGGCAAGAAACGCCGGCTTTCTTGGCCAGCAAAGGGAAGACACGAGAGCAGTTGTCACCATATGTACCAAGCGGTCGAATTCCTATCCCAAAAAACACAACCATCCTCCTCAAAATCGAGTCGTCTTTTTGCCAGCTTACTTTGTTTGGTTGGTTTCAAAGGGAAACCAAAAGGGAAAAACCGTTTTGAGCCATTTTGGGGGACCCGGTACTATTTTCGAAAAAGAAGACCCACTCAAAAAGCTTTCGTGCGAGAGAGAGACATCGCGCTGAGGCCACTGCGGGCAGGCCCTCTTGCTCCAAGACGTCTTGAACCTCCGGGTGGCTCGTCCCTCACGTCCCGTCAAGTGGATTGGCTAAAAAAAACAAGTGTTTAAAAAGAAAGAAAAAAACAACTTGTTTGTTTACAACTAAAATGGCACAAAGTGACTAAAGTCCAGGAACTCAGGAGCCACAAAATGGCAAAACCAGTGGTCCTTTTGGTGTCCCAAGCAAAACCAAGCGAAAAAGGAACCTTACAAGACACACCCTCAAAAACCCAAGACTTTATTGATCGCGTGTTTAAACAAAAAGAAAAGGCTTCGAACCCGAACTCCATTTCGGGTTGCGCCGATTTCGGCCCCCTCTCATCGGCAGATTCGATTCGCTCCCAAGCCGTCCGGCTGACCCCAGCGATGCCGACGCAAATTTTGTTTCTTCCTGGCCCAGCCTTCGGGATGCGAAAAACTCAGAGATCGTAGGCTTGGGGTCGTAGGCCCAGCTGACCTAGGGGTACCTTCCATGTCCATTCTTTCCAGGGATCCAGATCTTTCCAGAAAAACCTCCAGAAACCCAGTTGGAAAACGGATCCGGTTTTTCCAAAGACGATGGTTGAAGAGAATGCTTGGCATCAACCCCTAGAAGAGTCCCCTACAATGTCAAGACATGAAACCCAAAACGAAGGCGCCCCAAGGCGCCCAGGGCCCCTCCAAAGGCACCCGTTTCTCTGATACCAAGCAACTTCCCCATTTGCATGGATTCTCCCTGGAATATGCAATATGAAGTGGATCATGGATTTTGACTCAGGCAGGGACAAAAATCATCCAGTTGCTCATGCAACTTAAGCCCAGAGACCCTAGCTGGTTACCTACTATGTGGGGAACTGGCATCTACTGGGAACGGCTCGAGTCAAAGTTGGGGCACGGCTCTTGCAAGCAAGGAAACCGGAAAAGGATGCCTGCCCACCCACTCAAATAAAATTCATGAGGGGATAATGTTGACCCCATATTAATCAACCCCTGTTTATTAATAGGGAGTGTTCCCCTCAAAAAGCGATGAATCCTCACTACACCCAGGGACACCCCCCTAAAACAGGGGTTGATTAATATGGGGTCAACATTAGTCGGTAGTTGTTGTTTCGGTTTACTTGGTGCAGAAACCCTTCGGAGGAAACCGGAAGCTCAGTTCCTCGGTTTTCGGCAAATGATTCGAGAGTTGGCAGAGCACACCTTGGCCCACAACAGCAGAATTAACTAGTTATGATTGTTATAACCAACAAATGTTGGTGTATATCATATTATCATATTATAAATAATCAAACATCAATATGGAGTACGCGGAATATTAGATAAATGTCTGTTTCAGATGGTTATCTTGGTACTTCATCAACCTCAAAAACTGAAACGCGATGTTGGTGCATCTTCAGCGGCCAAAAAAAAACGCAAGATCGCAAAGCAGAAACAAAACGAGCAATGCCACAACTTTGGAGTCAATAGTCGCAGGCCGGACTTCCTGCCTCTTGGACAGTTGGCTGCCTGAAGATCATGGGCACATCCTGGCAGAAGCCCCTTAGGCCCAGGATTTGGCCGCTGGATGTTCTCATGAAAAGCTTGGTCGAGCCTCCAACATCCTTGCGGCTGGTCGTTTTTGGGGAATCGGAGTCCCCTCCCAAATGGTGGTGTCCCTGCTGGTGTCTCTTCAAAAACATCAAAAACAAACGCCCTCCCCCCAACTGGGTGTGTCACAGAAAATTGTGATTCCCCTTTGTTCCTTTAAGTCAACCCCGAGAAAGGTCCTTCAAAAAGAAGGACGCGCCCATATACAGGCCCTACCCCAATTGTTACAAGTAGCACCACTTACAACAATTTGGCCCTTCTGGGATTTCTCCGTTTCGGGCGCTGGAATGACACCTGCTATCCAGCTGCAACCAATGTGTGGTTTTCAAGCTCAGCCACGGCCTCTCTCTCCGTCCACGATCTGGGTCCCTCCCAAAGGAGGGGACCGCTAGATCTGTGCGCATCCGAAGGGACCCTTTGGACGTCATTGGGCGGTGAAGTTTAATTCGGGCCCCTTTGGTGAACATCATTTAGGTGGGGACTTATGTCCACCAACCACTTTTCAGGGGTTCCCCCAGTAAAAGTCATGGCCATTTGGCCATGGGTCAAACCCCGTACCACCAGTGAACATCCCAATCCCCACTAAAATAGACTAAAATGGAGGTGCACCCCAAAATGTTACCATGGAGGAATGTCCAACCACTTTGCAGGCGCGGTTCCCGATTCCAGCCTCGCTCGGGGCCGGAGCGTCGAAGTCACCTGTCCGGACAGCTCGGAAGAAGAGGTGCTTTTGGAGGTACCATTTTTTTTCTTATTTTTATTTATTTATTTATTTTGGGGGGAAGGCGTACCCTCTTCCTCACAGAAGTGGACAGGGAGGCCCCCCCCCCCAAAGTTTCGTGTCTTGCCACATCCAATCGTCGCCCTTGATGCCATGCCAAAAAGAAGACATAAGACTAGTGGCAATCCAAAAGTTTGAGCCCCTTCTAACTCCGAGCCGTCCAAGAAATTCATCAGCTCGCGGACTTGTCCGGTCTGGAAGACATGGCCTGCACCCAGAGGGCCCACTTACCACCCTCTCCCTTGCCAGCCGTGGCTCAAAAAACCGGTACCAAAATGGAACCTTGAGAAGTGGATGCATGGGCCAAAACCTGCGTAACCCCTCCCGTTCAATTTTGAGCCACGCCCATTTGCTGCGATTCGTGGAAAGTACCCGCAAGAGTCAAGCCGCTGGCCCCGCCCGAAAATTGCCCCGCAACTGTCCGGCCACAAGGCCCAAGCTCCAAGCTGGCAGGGCACAAGGCCCAAGCTCCAAACCGGAGCTCAACTCCTCCTCTCTTTATAAGCAAGGCGACGGGTCAACAGGCTTACAGGGAACAGAAGGAGTTCAATCCATGCGCCGCAGTGCGATAAAAGGACTCGGAGGTCAACGTGAATCGAATCCGAGTCCCAAGGGTCGATGAGACAGACGGAAACTTGGCGAGCTTCAGCTGGCCCTAGTGGCATTTTGCTTTCCCGGCGTGTCTCATGTTTGGAGGATTCCACAACCCCCCCCCCCAAAAAAAAAACAAAAAAACACCACGGCGACCAAATAAATCAACCCCCCCCAAAAAAACAACAACAATTCAACAACGACCAAAATAAATCAACTGATTGGTGGGGGGACGGTTCGCTGGCAGTCTTTTCCCGATTTCGCAAGCCCAGCGCACCGGTCCACGGTCGCCGCCTTCTCTCGAGGCTTCGTAGGTCTCCGTTTCGGGAGGCTCCTCGCATCAGACTTGGAAGGGCCCCCCTGGTGCCATGGGGTGCCGCGGAGGGCTGAAATGGCCAGGGGAGGCTCCGTGGATCTTTCTAGAAAACCTCCCAAAAACCCGGGTGGAAGAACGGAGATCCGTTTTTTGGGGCTTAGAACGATGGGTGAGAAGAATGGACAAGGAATCAAGCCCTAGAAGGGTCAGAACCCCGTACGTCCAGTGAACATCCCAACCCCCACTAAAATAGGCTCTAAAATAGGTGGTGCACCTGCCCCAAAATGGGATCACATTGGTGTTGACCCACGGCCAAATCGATAAAATGCACCACCAAATGAAACCATGGGTGAAACCATAAGGTTGGTTGGCATTTCCGTTGGGGAATCACCACTCCAGATTACAGAACCATAACGTTCTTTGGCATTTACGTCGGGGAATCGAATCAGAAACCCAGGCTTCTTAGGTGGTGCAGGATGTCGTCCGTCCGCAGTAGGAAATCAGGTAGGCACATGATGATGGTTCAGAAGGGAGATAAGTCTTTGTTGTGTGGGTTTTGGAATGTATTTGGGAATTTGGGAAACGAGGGTTCGGGTGCTTTGGGTGCTTTGGGTGCTTTGGGAGCTTGGCGGGTTCATTGCGGTTAGAGGAGGAATCACCAAAGGCTTCGGAACTCTGCAGTGTGGGGCTGAATTTCGAGGTTCCAACTTGAGAACCAGCTTGCCAGTTTTTGGCCCCCTCGCGGACGTTCAACAGGGGATACCAAAACGCTCATACACTTTTTGGCAGTGACACCTTGAGGGGGCGGCGAAGATTCAGCGCTTGGCCAGAAATGCGAAGCAATACAGGTGGTTCGAGAGCGTTGCTGGTTCTACCGGGAACTAGGGATTCCTTGCCTTCTCACTGGGTTACACTCTCCAGAATCTCTGGATTTTCTGGCTCCATCTGCTCTCCAAATTGGGGGGATCCCGCGGGATCCATCTGTTCAACTAACCTTGGACGAAACAAAGCGCCAAAAGGAAGCCGCTTTCCAGCCCAGAAGTCTTGGTTGGCCTTTTCGTCCAAACCTTTGGACCCCACTCGAGTCCGGAATCCGGTCGAGTCCAGCCGTTGAGCTCCCGCCTGATGCTCGGCTTCCTGGCCGTAGTGGCTCTCGCGGCTCTCCGGCACGAAGATGCCGTCCATGGTCTCAGCAAAGGCCTCGGACAACAGTAGCGAAAAATGAGAAAGCTTCTAGGGGTTGAGTCCCCATTCTGTTCAACCATCGTTCTTTTCAAAACCGGCTGTTTCCCCTGGGTGTTTGTGGTTTCCTGAAAAGAAGGATCCTTGGACAGAATGGGGAAGGTAATGCTAGAAAGTTGATTTACTCCGGCGCCCCAAAAAACAAAGACATGTGGAGGAAACTCCTTTTGGGAATGGAGCCCCCCCTTTCCCGGTTCCATGTCAATTTGTAGGAGTAGCAGAAACACGCCTCTCGCTGATTTATGTTCAGCTGTGGAAGAAGATAACCTAAGACCCCAAACAAAATAATTCCCAGAGTTTGGGGCTGCCACAGGTTTCTGAACTCCAACACGCATATTTTAGATTTTGCTAGACTCTCTATGCATATATATATATATACAACGATCAGGGGGATTTTCTTGTCAACATGACTGTCATCTGTTGCTGCGAGTTTTCAACTTGCTTGAGCCACAGGTTCCGGAGCACAAAAGGACATTGGCTTCCTTTCGGCTTTCGCCAATCTAAGCGAGTCTGTCTTTTTGAGTTGGTACCCCCTGGTTTGGTGGTTTTAAAGGTCTCCAAAAGAGCCACGAACTCATCAAACTACGCGGGTTGCCCCAGCTTTCTGACATCGATTTCGGACCATTGGTATTTACAGGGAAGCCCAAAGAGCACCAAGCACTTGTTTACTTTGAGCAACCTCCCTTTTGGGGTAACACAAACAAAAGCCCCTTGCTGGATCCCCCAAACACCCACGGTGCTTTGCATAGAAACCCACCAAAACCCACGCGGCCCACCCACAACGCGACCCAGCGACCTGCCAGCCGTGGGCGATGCCTTTGCCGGCTCCCTTCAGCCGCGAGTTCAGCCAAGAACTTGCCATGGGCCTGCGATCCGGGGCTTGGGTTTGGGGGGTTCTCCAAATGGGCAGCGAGCCTCTTGGACATGCTGTGATTCTTTTTGGGTATTTTGAGACAAACCCAAATGGGTGGCGTGCCTCAGCTTCTTTTCCAGGGTGCTCTTTCTGGGTTGCAAAGGGAGACCAAAAGAACCACCGAAATCCATGTTGGGGAGTACCTGAGATCATGCCGTGGTGGACCCTTAACGACCTTGGTACTCAAACAGGAACCAACAGGAAACCACAGAGTGTCATCTTGGGACACTGCATTGTTGCCCCTGGAAAAAATTAGACAATATGTACAGTAATCAAATCGATCCCCTTTAAAACCAACAAGGGAAAATCATAACAATAATAAACGTCATTTCAGCAAATGCAAGCTACCTATCGCACCGGCAAAGCTTTGGGCGTCCTTCAACCAGCCAAAAAAAAGCAAGTGGAGGCGAAAACCTTTGGACATGCCATGGTGGACCCAGAAAACAAAGAAGAAGAAGAAGAAAACAACAAAGGAAAAAAACGGTTGTCATCTTGGGCTCGTGCACCGAGTCCTTTTGAGAACCCAGAAACCCTGTTGGAATGTCCAATCCATGCGCCGGGTGCCAGGTGAGATTGGGCCTGGAATTGGTGTGGAGGTGGGACCCAAAAAAGACAAAAAGAACAACAACTCACACAATAGAAATGGAATGGAATGGAATGGAAAGGAATGGAATGGAATGGAATGGAATGGTGGAAAGGAATGGAATGGAATGGAATGGAATGGAATGAAATGGAATGGAATGGAATGGAATGGGAATGGAAATGGAAATGAAAAGAAAGAAATGAAATAAAATGAAATGAAATGAAATGGAATGGAATGGAATGAATGAAAGAATTGAATTGAATTGAATTGAATTGAATTGACTTGAATTGAAATGAATGACTGAATGAATGCATGCATGCATGAAGGAAGGAATGAATACATCGTAAATACTTCCCCTTGAGACCAAACCCCAATAAAAACCCCCGACAGCGTTTATCTCCGCACTCCCGCCGTCTCTGAAACCAAAAGGTCTCTGAAACCGATTTTTTAGGGACCTTCCATCTGGGCCGGTCACGGGGCTTCTCACTCAGTGAGCCAGCCATACCATACCCAAACCTGCCGTGTTAAAGCCCAGGTATCCCCAGCTCCAGAACTTTCTGGAACCCTCTTTTTGGACTCTGAAAGCTACCCCAAACCACCCCCATCTGGGTATGGTTTTTGGAACAATCAGTGTTGGACTACGTCATATTTATACATCTATAATTACATAGCATACCCCACCTGTTGACAAACAACTCCAAGCTGACCGACCGCCCGCCTCAATTGATCTGAGTCGTGGCAGGCCTCTGTGTTGCCTCGCTCGTGGGAACTTTTTTACCCTCAGGGCCAGGCCCCTTCAAATCCAAAGGTGGAGAGTGTGTCTTATCGAACTGTTCCTTTTTCTACCTCTATCCGATCTTGTACTCTACTTCCACATGTTCATCCTGAAGGAACAAAGTATATACTCTCTTCTCTTATCTTGTTCTCCACTTCCACATGTTGATCCTGAAGGATAGATTTCTTATGCTCTCTTCTCCAAGAGCTTGCAACCAGTTCATAGCGGCTACTTTCCACTTGGAAGTCACCTTGCCCTCACTCAACCCTGCCGCACCTGGCAAGTGTCCTTCGGCGTCATCCGCTGTGAGCATCCGCCCCTCCTGGCGCATCGCCGCGCGCTCCGCGCGCTCTGCGCGCTCCGCGCGCTCCGGGCTCCGGTGGTCTGGACGGAGCGCCCGCGCGTAGGTGTTGCCTCGGGACGCGCAGCAGGCGACCGCTCGAAAGTGCGACAAAGTCTCGCCTGCCTGGGATCGCTCTCCCCCCCCCCCGCCCCCGCGCCCCCGCGCCCCCAAAATACCAAGTTCAGGGTATTGAATGTTTGAGGCAATTGTTATCCTCTGCTGAGGTACACCTTGATATGACTGTTGACAAGTTCACAGCCCTGCAATGTTTGATTCGCCCATTCAGCACCGCGCCTGGGTCAAACACTTGATGGCCTTGATCATGTTGTGCAGCAGGCAGCTTTCTGTCCACTGGAAAGACCGCCTCCACGTAGTGGGGCTGGTCGACGACACGCTGCGGCTCATTCCACACGGCCCGCGGTGCGCTCGACGCACATGGCACATTCGGCGCACCGGCGACGGGCGCGGCGCACGCGGGCGCGGGCATTGGTGTGGGCATTGGCGCGGGCACTGGCGCTGGCATTGGCGCGGGCACAGCGGCTGCGTTGGGCGCCCACGCCCCAGGCGGCGGGGAGTTGGAAATTTCGAGGGACCGGTTCAGGCTGTCCAGGTTGGCGAGCAACGCCGCCATCTCCGGCACCTTTTGGACCTGGGGAAGCTCCCGCACAGCCTCCTGACGCGAGAAACAAAGGCCACCTACTCAAACACATAAACAAAAAAAGTATGTTTATTTGTTATATATATATATATATAACAAAACAAACTGCGCATCCTCATTCTGATCCTCCCATGTTCACCCGACCCTTGTCCTTAGCTTTGGCGTCGATGGCGTCTTTGGCGTCTTTGGCTTCTTTGGCCATGGCCGCCTCCGTGCGCCTCGTCAGCGACAAGTTCAGCGAGCTCAGCTCCTGGCGCTGGCAAGGAGCCCGGGGTCTTCTTCAGCGGACCCCCCAAGAATGGCTGTGGCGGTTTTTTCCTTCTGCTTTCGATTTACGAAGCCAACCAAAAGGGCTTCCGTCTTCCATTCAAAAAGCCTGCTTTCCATTTAAAAACAAATGAAGCCAACCAAAAGGGGTTCCCAAATCCGGCGACAGACGGCGTGTGGGGCAAAGAAGCGCTCCGCCCTTGCCCCTCCCTTACCCCTTTCTCAGGCCCGGTAATTCTAACGACAACATCGAGGGGTTGCAGGCCGTCGTGCAAAACCAGCATCACTTGTAGCACAACATCACCAGCATCACCAGCATCACCAGCATCACCAGCATCACCAGCATCACCAGCATCACCAGCATCACCAGCATCACCAGCATTGTCTCAGCACAACATCACCAGCATCACCAGCATTGTCAGAATGACGTCCCTTTGGAATTGGACCTTTTCTTTTGGAATTGTCCCTTTGGAACTATGTCATTGGAGTTCTTTCATTGGAATTCGACTGGAGCTTTCCGATTCGAACTTTCCCATTGGAACTCTTGCAATGTTCCCTTTGGAAGGGTCCCTTTTTGGCATTGTCCCATTCCAGTATTCCTTTTGGTTTCTTTTTTTCCCATAGAAGTTCTCCCATGGAAATGCGCCCTCTGGCTTCTTTTTGCGCAAATTCTCCCATTGGAATGGTGCCCTTTGGATCTTTTTCGATTGGAGTTCTCCCCCTGGGATTGGCGAATTTTCCCATTACCATTTCCCCCCTTTGCAATGGTCTTGGGTCCAAATCCTAAAGGACAGACCCTTTTGGTGGTTTCAAACATCAGGGGTCAAACCCAAAGATGAGATTTCCAATTTTCGGGTCAATCAAGGGGCTACTGTGGACGGTTGCGAAATCTTGCACCAAATGAGCCCACGGTTGAAACCTTCACGTACATCTCGGGAGTTTCGCCTTGAATCGACTCAGACACCCTGGGGTTTCTGACCCGTGCGTTGGACGGATTTCGCCACCAACCCTCCAAAAAAGAGAGAATCTGGCGCAATGCCACATGGACATCGCCAAAAGCACCAAGATGTACCCAAGACAGTCAGACCCTCCAAAAGACGAACCCACGTCTTTCCCATTTCGCTCGCCTGGGTGAGGCGCTGGATGTCGCTGAGCGCCTCCTTCGGCTTCGGCGCCTCCGTCGGCGCCTCTCTCGGCGCCTCTGTCGCCGCAAGCGGCGCGCCCAGCGTGGCCGCGAAGGGCGCGGCCGGCGAAGCCGCCGCGCCTGCGATTGGGGGCGTCCATGGGCGTCCCATTTGCCACCACCAAGTAGGGGTTGGGACTTTAGATTGTCCTCTTGAAAAGAGATGCCAGGTCAACCAGAAAAGCGGCATCGACTTTCAACCAAAAGGACCTATGGTTCAATGTGTGTGTGTGTATGTGTGTGTGTGTGTCCAATAGGGGACCAAAAGCCAATGATGGTTTTCCGTTTGGTTTCCCTTTGAATCCACCAACAACAAAAACGTGCCCTCGAGAAAAAAAAGTAAAACCCTGTCCGCTCTGGCCGACGCTACAGTAAAGGGACCTTTGCAGCCAGTGAGAAATCGAGAGGGTCGGTCTCCTGGTGTAAATTTCGACCCCGCCTGATTTGCTGAACAGGTCAATCAACAAAGTTTCTGAGCTTCCCTGGAAGAAGGAATCTCTACAAAGGGACCCACCCTTAAGCGCTTTAATAAACTAGGGGACTTACACAAATCCGCACAACAAACGAGAGCCGCGATTTGACACCCTGGTTGGTGGCCGCTGGCCTGAGTCGTTGAGCCACCAAATGCGCACGGCGCCCTCTTGCCATATACACAGGCCGGATTGCAGTTGATGGTGAGTTGAAAGCCCGTTTCGCGTTGCAGGCCTGCAATTTGCGACTTGCTTCCACTTCGCTTTTTCCAGACGTCTGTGCCCTTCTCTTGGGGGGGAAACAAAACACCCAAGATGGCAAGGTTCTCCTTTTGGGCTCCCTACGCCACCAAAAAGTTGGGGTACCGTGCCCCAAACGCAAGACACAAAAACCCCTGGGGCCTGGAGGCCTGGAGCGCCACTTTGAAAGGGCGGGTCACTCGCTCTTTTTGAAAGGGCACGTGGGCCAAAGGTAAGGCTCAACTGTTGGTTTCCGGCCTGGAGCGCCATTTTGGGTGGCGTGTCTTTCTTTTTTCCGGAAAGGAAAATACCACGAGAAATTTCCAACTCCAGAAAGAGGCCAGGTACCCCTCGGTGCGGTTCGGTTTGTTGTCTCCACCTCACATCGTCGGACTCCCTGCCTGACTCCCCGGAGCCGGCGGCGGGTTCTGAACCCGCGGCGGGTTCCCCCGCAGCGTCCCGCTGGATCTGCGTGAGGACGCAGGCCACGTAGCCCTGGAACTCCAGGGGCGTCAGCCCTGGCAGTGGCCCGGGGAGGAAGTCACCGGGGGCTGGGCGTGCCCTAAATCTTGCCACCCCTTTCAGCTCCGTAAGCTTTGGTGCAGCTAGCACCCCCCTTCAATCTCAAGGTCTGGAAATGGGTCAAGGAGTACCCAGCAAAACCAGTTGAGTGAGTGAACTTGGTTGGAGTTTACTGGAGATTGTTGTTTCGATTCTTGGTGTCCCTTATCCGCAAAGCCATCCAACCCCGTACACTTGGGCATACCGGCCTTCCAAGGTCTGTTCAAAGCTAGGGACCTTCTGGGACCTGAGTTGCAACGAAATCTGAAGAGGGATGTTCATCAAACCTCATCCAAACCAATGGGGCGGCCATCAACATGGGTAAGTCTCACTTGCTGGAGTTGGTTTGTGCACAACACAAAACCCGATTCGAAGGAGCAAGTAAGTATGCGTCCAACCCTCTGCATACCTCAAATCATAGGCTTCTCTAGTCAAATGGCTCGCCGTAGTCAGCGACGACCCTGGTTCTACCATGTTAATTGTGTATACACTATACAGGGGTCGCTGCATTTCCCCTTCGAAAAGTTGCAGCTTGCTGGGGTTCCAATAATTTTTTTCGCCACTTGAGGTCCACAAAAGAGAGCCGAGGGACCCTTCCAGAACTCCATTTATAACTAGGCACCATATGTGGCCCTTTTGGAGACTCGAACCGTTCTGGGCCGACGTGGAACCCGGAAGGTGGAATGTTTGCTTCACCTCAACGAGCTGTGGTGAACGCGCCCAAACCTTCACCCCACTCAAAGCAAACCCAATCTTGAGGCTTAAGCGATCTTCCAACTCTTAAGAATCAACTGGCCAACTGCCAACTGTGTCATAGTCCGCCCAGAACTAAAGAATTAAAAAGGTGGCGGCTCCCATTTATGATTGGGATTATCCCGTACTAACCTTCATCTACCCGGGTTTTGATTGTAGCTCAACTGGCCTTAACGGCAAACCTGTTGGACAAAAAAATCCCGAACGAATTATTGCCCCAACCCCCGAACCGCAAATCGCCTGAACAATGTTCAACCAGCATTTCGCTTCACTTCGCATTTCGCAAGTCTTGCAAAGGTGTCTGAGACCACAGCAAATGTGAGCAAAATCCAAACGGTAATTTGCACTTGCAACCCCCGCCCCCATCCCCTTTCCAGAGTGATGTTGGTCTCTCTAGCCAATGAAAAGGCCGGCTTCTTCGCGCGGGTTCGGGGAACCAAACGACAGCATGCACTTGGGATCTGTGTAACGGAACCGCAAGTTGGATGCTTCAGTTTGGAGTCTTCCTCTCATTCCATTCTTAGAGTCTTAGAATCAGTAAGCTTTGGGCTCTGCCGCGCCAGGAAATTCCCAAAGGAGATTCCCAGTCTTGCCCCACCATTTCCCCGGCTCGGCTATGGTTCACCATGGCGGGATATCCTTCACGTCCAAACGCGAAGGATTCCTTCAGACCGGCCTTTCACTTCTGTCACCCTTTTCCAAACCTCACCGCCAAACCTCCAAACCTCCAAAGCCACCAGGGGACCGCAGGTATTAGTCTTTGGTTTCATTTACCAGGGTTCCATTTTCGTTTCGCATTTTTGACCCACGGCCATATATATATATATATATATAGATATAGTCCCAGTCCCAGCTCGGGTCGCTTTGTCCCCGCTCCTCGGCCCTCGAAGGAGGCGTACACCGCGGAGACCCGCTCCAGCGCCTGCGACTGGCGGTTTCGCTTCCATCGGTGTCCATGGAAAGGTGGGCTTTTACAAAGTGCGCATAACCCACTGGCTGGGCTTGCTGATCAGGCAGCAAGTTCAAAGCAGAACCATGGAAACAAGCGACTTCCACGGTTCAAAGGCGTTCCCTTTAAAAGCCTTGGTTTGGTTGGTTTGGATCGATTAGGTTTGGGAGGCATCCCCCTTCAAAGGCCTGGGTTGGTTTGGGAACGAAAAACATGGAGGGCGCTTCCTGGTGAAAAATCATACCAGGGAAATCCTTCCTCCACTTCAAAGGTTGCAAATTAACTGGTGGTGTCCATTGAAACGATCGCCACATTTGGAGCTTCCCGTTCAAGGGACATGGCAACCGGAAACACTGTAATTCCCATTCCGGATGTTTCAATAATCAGCCATTCCGGATCTTTTCGAAGGTTGCAATTGATGAGTGGTGTCCATTGAAACGATCGCCACGTTTGGAGAAAACCCTGTACTATTGCCTTTCTGGGGGACTTGAACCGTTTTGGGTCGGCATGGAACCCGAACGGCTGCGAATGACGAGTGGTATCCATTGAATCGATCGAACGTTTGGAGGAAGCCCCTCTCGCCTTCTCGCTGCGGCATTGCAACCTGTCGATCAAGCGCTGGGTGGCACTCCGCAACGCTGACGGCGACACACCGCCCTCCTGGCTGGGGGGGGGGGAAAAAAGCCTCCAAAAAAAGTTTCGCCCAAGGATGAATTGTTGAGAACCCTGAGTTTGGAGATTTCACGACTTGTCCACTTGTGGCTGGCTTTGTGGGAAACCAACCGTGGGTTCATATTATCCATCCGCCGTAGAGCCAATCATGTTGAGAAACATGACCCCGTGGGCATACACTTCTCACAGGATCCGGCAAAAAATGGCCCAAGCCATTTGCAGCTCCAAATTTTCCCAGTTTCTGCTTTCTGTTGAAGAAACACCTATCCCGTTTTGCCAAAAAAAACATGTTGGGGTGTCCGTCCAACCTCAAAACTGAGGGGGTGGTTGTCCAACCTCAAAAATGGGGGGTGGTCGTCCAACCTCAAAAATGGGGGGTGTGCGTCCAACCTCAAAAATGGGGGGGTGCTTGCCCAACCTCAAAAATGGGGGGGGGTGCTTGTCCAAAAAGAGAAACAAAAAAAAAGAGAAAAAAGACGCGCCACCCACCTCCCAAGCCCCTGGCACTCGGCGCCCGGCACTCGGCTTCGCTCCTCGCCCTCGCGGAGCTCCCAGCACAGCCGCGGCAGCTCCTTCAGCGCCAGCTCGCTGGACGGCGCCTACCCCACTGGATTTCCACGGGGAAAAAAACGAAGTTTGGCGCCCTTTCGGCAGAACTCCAAGCTAAATGAGCCCTATTTGGGTGGAAACACAAGATCATCTTGAACCAAAGGACAAAATATGGGGAAACCAAAAGGTGAGAGAAGGCCGATGGACCACTTCCAATCGGTACTTTTTGGGGGAGGGAACCCAATGAAAGATGGGATTCCGGGACCACCTACCACCTGGTGCACTTTGGGATTCGGAGCCCCAAAAGCCTTCCAAAACCATTTTTTCAGAGGAAAAAACAGATTTTCCACTCAAGCGATCGACGCGTTCTCCTCTTTAAGACAGGCAAGCAGGAAAACACCAAAAGCAAAACAGGACGCTCCCCGGCCTCGTCCCCGGCCTCGTCCCCGGCCTCGTCCCGGTAGCCCTCGTAGCCCTCATAGCCCGCATAGCCCTCGTAGGCCTCGTAGCCCTGGTAGCCCTCGTGGGCATGCCCGGCTTCGATGCCATCACTGGCCGAGTTCCCCATTGCATGACCTTTGTGACAACCTCCGATCAAGTCAGTCTGGCTCCTTCCAGCCTCCAGCTGTGAGCCGAGTTTCTTGCTACTTGCGCGACTGGTGTCAGAGTGCCCATGTTTCTTCCTTCTTGCGCCCCCGGAGTTCGCTGCTCATCTCTGAGCCAAAGGAGCGCGTCGGTCGTTCGAGCTCTACTCCAGTCACTGGCTTCATGCAAAATGAGGTCAGCTATTTCGGCTGGGAACGTGTGCAAGGCACAGCCCAACATGACCAATGGAGCCGGGAGTCGTCCCACAAATGTGTGTGTATAGTGTGTGTGTGTAAAAAAAAAGAGAACCCCCAACATGGTCTTCATCCTCCCGGCGTCTCTTTAAGTTAAATTGGGTACCGCGCAACTGGGCCAAAAGGAGCTACCTTTCTGCTTCCGGCGCACACCTCCGGAAGGCCCCAAGTCCGCGGAACCGCGGACTCTCGCGGACGGATCGATCGCAGAGCGATCCTCGTGCACCTAATCGAATTCCCATGCCGTGCACCGAATTTCGGAAAGCACAAACGGTGTACGATCCATGGGCAACCAAAAGAACAATCTGCACAGTTGCCCAGCCTAAGCCGTGCATATCTTCGGCGAGTTTTTCGCCACCAAATCCCCTCTCAGTCTTGGGCAGGAATGGGCATGGTGTCTTCCTGAGGACTGCCTATCCCTGTCTGTTCACCAAGCAAGTAATATGAAGCGGTCAACAACCCCCCAATCAATCGACATCTCTTCAAGTGAAAGTCGGCAAAGCTGATTTTTCAGAAATAGAAATCTAGTTGGCTGCATCTGGGTGTTTCTCCAAGGGCTTTGATGCCCTTTCTCACGCTCGTTCCTTTGGCTTCCCTTCAAAGACCGACCGCAACTCGTGGGGTCCGTACATGGAGCCTGTGGAACCAAGGCGGACTAAATTCATTGGGCAAGAGCTTGTCGCTGGCGCTTGGTGCGATCCGTGGCAATTTTCTGCTAATGAAGCCTCTCAGACGAAATCTAACGAATTCCCTTTTGCAGTGCTTCGATCCAGATCAGCTCCGGAGAAATGCCCGACGCCTCTGCGACATCTGTGAGGGCATCCTGTTCGTCCCCCTCCGGCATTTCTGGGAGCATGGGCGTCATGCCTCGGATAGCGGATAGCGATAGCGCCGGAGTGGGGCCAGTGGGACACCCAAAAAATGGGTGACCAACCCCAAAAAAGGTAGCCCCACAAAAAGACGACCCACAAAAAACATGGCTGGTTCTGGGGGTGTCCCAATTCTTTTAGAGATATAAATCACTGTGGGTGAACAAAACACCCCTATGAATCTATGAATGTGGGATGCGTCACTTTCCGCCAAGAAAAAAGAAACTCAAAAAGAAGCAAACAACATGGGCGTGTCATTTGAAAGGTTGCACCCCCCAAAAAGATTTCGGTTGCCCTTTTGATGTTATATATATATATATATTTAAAAAAAAAGAGGGTAACCAACTCAAAAGACGAGTTCCCACATCATTTTCTGCCGTCTGCCACCCGTTTCAGCCTGAAGGCTCGGAACTGAGGGCGGCGCTCTTGCCTTGCAACATGCCGTAGAGCTGGTATCGCGTCTTGTACTCCGGATGGTCCAAGGAGATCGACCTGGAAAAAAACCCATGGGTGCGACGGAAAAATCAGGATGGTCTATGCCACTTCCCCGAAATAAAAAAGCTACCCGAGGAAACTCGGTAGTGGTTGTGATTCTCATTTGGGCATGGGTCAAAACCCGTACCAGTGAACATCCCAATCCCCACTAGAATAGGCTCTGAAATGGGTGGTGAATTCACCTATCCAAAAATGGGATCCCATGGCCGGGTGGCTTCGGTTGGGAAGTGGAAATCATCTTAGGCTTCTGCTTGTCCCAAATCCTATCCGCCGGTAACCTGCAGGCCTCTGATGCCACAAACGTGAACTCCATAGATGTGATGAGGCAAGAATGGGGCTCCCAAAAACATGGTGGGTTTTCTGTAGCCGGGCACCCGGAAATGGCCTGGGAGGGGGTGTAACCCCCCAAAAATATGGGGGTTCCTTGGCGTCAAAGGGCTACCCTCAAAAACTTGAGCGGCAGCAAAGGGCTACCCAAAGGGCTACCGCGAGCGTCGACAAGAGGCGTGCCGTCCCGCACCCACAGAAATGCATGCCAGGCGGGCGTTGTCACGCGGCAGCAGTGTCGCAGGTTTTCCATGACCTTGGCACACACACACACAAACACAGTTCTCCCCTTTAAAAAAAACAACAAATGAACCTGAAATGCATCGTCAATAGAGAGGCATCTCTTGGAATCGGAGCAGCGCGCCTTTTTGCGGTTCCGTGTAAAAAGTGTCGTGGTGTAGCTCCAGTTTGGGATGCTCCTTTGGTTTATCTGTTTAGCATTTACCCTCATGGTGCAGAGAATTGAGTCGGATCTGCTTTCTCAGCGCGGGGCGGTCTCTTGTGCCCAGTACCAAGATATTCCAAAACTTGAGCTTCACAATCCTCTTTCAGGGGAGAGTCGGTTCCTTCACATCACACCAAAAAGATCGAGCTTTCGGCTTGGGTGTGTGAGTGTATGTGTTTTGCCGTGAGCTTCCTTTTGGGGTGTGGGTCATTGAACAAGTACTGTGGACAAAATCCTGCACCAGCCGGTGTGGCACGTCAGGCATATTGAAGGGTTTCATCTATGTCAAGTAGCGTGGTTGGCGGTGTCTTTTTGGGGGGGAAGCTTCCCAACGTCAAGGATACCTGCAACAAAAAGAAAGGGGGCAAATCCTTTTTTGAGATTGCCCGTTTAAAGAAAGCCGGTGCCCTAAGAAAAGAAGGAAGCTAAAAAGAAGGAAGGACACAGCCCACAAATCACACCACCAAAAACTTGGTGCTCAAACAAGAAAGCCCACTCCTTGTGGGCTTGCAAAAGCAGTGAAGCCACATCCTTTTAACTGGCGCTAAACAACCGGGTGCCAACATAAGAAACGGACACACTTTTCAAGAGCGGCTTGTAGCGAAACCACTCCCATGTCACCCATGGGATCGCCGGTCAACTGGGGCCCTCCGAATAAGGCCCCCCCCCCTCCCACGTCGCCCCGCATCGGATCGCCGAACCCCCCCCAAAGAGGCCGATCGGCCCCCCGTCCACCGGGCTTTCGGGCGACGTGCCGGTCCGGCAGATGCTGGCGGCCCCGGTGCCAGGCCTATCCGATCGCGGGGGCGCGGCGATCGCGGGAGGCGCGCCGGTGGGCTGATGGGGCGGCACCCGTTTTGGGGGGGGGGGGGGGTTGGTGGCACCTCCGGTTTTGGGGTTCTATGGGCTGTTGAAAATGGCGGCTTGGCCAGGGAAGCCACAAGGATCTTGCGTACCCCAAAGGATGAAGAATTACATTTGAACAGCTCAGATAGTGGGTCGGGCTTGCAGTTGGGGTCTTTGGAGGGTCTGGAGGGTTGTAAGGTTGAGAAACCAGGAGGCATCCTTTTGTGGGTTGAAAGGGAAACCAGGAGGAAACCAGAAGGAAACCAAATCCAGAAAGAAACCAGAAGGACGACCACTATCTAGGATTTGGGCCCATTTTAACACACAGCCGGGGCCTAAGCTACCCTTGGAGTTAAGCAACGCCACTATTTTAGGTTATGCGTTTAGGCGAACGACACACATGGCTGTTCGTAATGTGTTTCTTTGGAGAGATGGCCCTCTCCTCCGTCTCGTGTAATTTCGATGGTGGGCCCCTGCTAAAAGCTTCACTTTCAGTGGGCTAAATGGAAACCCCCACTCACTTTCGGCTAAATGGAAGTTTCCCCACTAGTCACTAAACCAAACACCAAGCTGAAAAGCTAAGTGGATGGCTGGCCGCCAAGAAAAGGGGGGAGTTCCCCGCAATTCCAATGGGGCCAGTTCTTGCACCTCCAAAGCCGGGAGAAAACAAAATCTTGAGACCCTTGAGGCCTCAAATACAGGAGAAGCCGGAAAAAGACTGGTCTCGAAAAAAGAGAAAAACCGCGGTTCGCCCACCTTCCCGCGATTTTCCCCCCACCTGGCGCGGAGCTCCCTTAGAGGAAACGGATCTTCCAAGGTATGCCGCAAATGCCCAGGTTTCTGGCCACGGAAATCGCTCCGATGTTCGAAGCGAGGCGTTCCGTTCGACGATTCGAGCGGCCTGCGTGGCGTTCCGCTCCAGCGGCGGGCGCTTCCGGGTGGGCACTTGCACTGTCACCTCGGAGGCTGAGAGGGGCGCTCCCCTCCGATCCACTGCGCGAGCCGGGCATGGGGATGGGCAGGATGGATGGGATGGATGGGATGGGTGAGAGGGGCCCTGCCCACGAAGATTGGGTGTTGTTCAAAGATCGCAGTGTGGGTTCTCTCTCTCCCTCTGAACCCGCAGGGGACATTTTAAGAGGAAGAGGTCAGCCAGTCGGAAACGTCAGCCAGTCGGAAACGTCAGCCAGTCGGAAACGTCAGCCAGTCGGAAACGTGATACAGGAGCCATTGGACAGACAGTCAGCTGGTTGAGGGGCGAAGTGAGAAGTGACAGCCCCAAGAAACGAAGAGAGCGGTGGATGAGTAGCTTGGGCTCCTTCGGCGATTTTTTCTCGGGGAATGGGTGGGGGTGATTCAGCCGAAGCCAACCTGGGATCCGCAAAGGCTCCGCTCCGAGATTCTCTCATGAGGTCGCTATACCGTCATCTAAATGTTGGGTTCCTAAAAAAAACGGTAACTTCGCTTTCCAAAGAGGTCCGTTGACTGTTAGCTGTTAAGGTGGTTACAAGCTGCGTACACGCTCTACACCAGCTACAGTAGAGCCCCGCAATTTTGAGAACCTCCAAACTGAGACCTCCAGACCAGATCTCAGCAGAACAATGGATCTGCAAGCCATACTGTGGATGGCGATCAAAATCCGGTTTTTAAACCCTGAGAATAAGCCGCGAGTCTCAACTGGTTTTCGTCCATCAGTAAAGGCTTGCCCAGTGCCGGAGTTATTTGGCCGTGGGTCAAAATCCAAATCGTACCCCCAGTGAACATCCCAATGCCCGCTAAAAATAGGTTCCAAAATGGGTGGTGAATTCACCTACCACCCAAAATGGGATCCCATAACGGTTTGGGCCCAGTTCCGGAGTTGTTTGGGTATGGGTCCAAGTTAAACCACTAAAAACCCGCAGGTGCTTGTCCTCGTTTCCATTCACCAGGGTTCCGTGTTGGGTACATTTCCAAGACAAGTGGAGCTTAACCCCTTCTACCGGGCAGCCGAGTCCGACCTCGCCTGCTGGCCAACGTCGTATCCCTCAGGGATGGCGACCGTCATCTCCTGCTCCTCAAAGATAAAGTTCACCTCACCCAAAACCCACTGAAGACGGATACAAAGATTCATATGGATGTTTGTCCCTTTGTGAGGGTCCCCCTTTTGTGGCTTCAAAGGGAACCAAGAGGAAACCACCATTTGGGGGGGTCCCTTCTTATTCAACCAAGTGGCTTTCAAGCGGGAATTGTTTTTTGGGCGCTTGAGACCCCGAAACCCCGCTTTTTCAAGAATCCCAAATGCCCGTGGTGGTCAAAAATAGGGGAACCCCCAAATGGGTTGCCCTGGTAAGTGGAGCCATGGACCAAAACCTGCGGTCCCCCGGTGCTTTGATTTTGACCCATACCCAAATGGTGGGCAAAACGGGAAGCTCATGACCAACTTGGTCGAAAAGTTGGCTGCTAGTCACTGAAAGTTGCCTGTTTTGTCACCAGCTTGCGACGCCTGCCATGGCTCTATGAGGAAAGGCGCACCTTGGTCGGAACAACACCTGAACTGTGACTCCGGCATAGGTGTATTCTGTTCGCTGCCCACGCCCCTCAACAAAAAGAGAACTGAAATCAAAATGGGGGGGGGGGAGGGGGGGGTCAACCCTTACACATGTATTACATATATACATATATAATCAACGGGGGTCTTTTGAAGTCACCCCCAAACTGGTAGGGTGCGAAAACACTGGACCCATGCGTATATTATAATATTATATATATATATATATGTGTGTGTGTATGATACATAGTGCAAGCAAAAGGTTTCAGGTGCCAAGTGTCACAGGGTTACTAATGCGCTCGCCACTTCTGTAGGGCCAAAAAACGAGAAGCGGGTAGGACACCCTCCATTTCAGCGGGGCGTTGAAAGATGAGTTCTACCTGCGGGAAGGCGTCCGAACACGTGAAAATGGAGGGGCCGGTTTTTGTTCCAGGCAAGGACGCGGGACCGGGAGCCGAAGAAAAGTGCTCGGTGCTCGTACTCACTTGGCTACCATGCTTCAAGACTCAAAATGGCGGCACCAAAACCTGGCGCCCCAAAGACTAACCCCGCCTTTGTTAAGCACAGAAGTGGTTGGATAAACCCCCGGTGAACCCACAAGCCTGCCATAATCCCAGGTGTTCATCGTGGCCTTGAGTCCTAATCAAAACCCGGTATTAAAATGGTCGACCCACGATATAAAGAATTTCGAAGGCGGCCGCAGCTACTTTATGGTTGGGATTGTCCCTCACTACCCTCCATTTACCCACGTTTTGAGCACGTGCACTTCGAGCTCGGCCGCAGCATACCGCTTCCGTCTCTGGGGCGTTGGCCCGGCGCGTCTCATCCATCCCCGGAGGCACCACCAGCGTCACCTGCCTGACGCTCGGAAGTTCCATGTGGGGAACCCATGTCGGACGGCTCGAGTCCCCAAAAAGACCTCATAGGCAACACCTGGACAAGCGGGTCTGTTTTTTTTGGAGTTACCCATGTTTGCAGAGGGGTGAAAGGGAAACCCAAAAAGGGAGAACCGAGGCCATTTTGGGGTGTTCCAGAAAGGACCCCCCCAAATTGGTGTTTTTCTTTCTAAAACACGCCACAAAGGGGTACCCTCCAAGAAAAGGTTCTTTGTATTTCCTTAAAACCAAAAACCACAATCCAATCTACAAAAACTGGAAAATATTTGGTCGCTTTAATTTGGCCTTATTGGGTTTGGGTCCAAGGAAAAGGCGTCCTTTGTGGCTTCCCTGTAAACCAACCCCAAGTGTACCTTTCGGCTCAAACATTACACACCTGGTCACCTTGCTAAGTGTTCATGTTGCAGTCACCCCGTTGTACGGGAGGGGGTGGCCCAAAAAACGGGATTCAATTGGAATGTCCTTTGGTAGCGACCGGACCCACATAACCTTTCATAATCTCGGGGGCCCTGAGCCTTTCTTTCCTCACCCTGCCAAAAAAAATAGGAAAAAAAGAACACACCTCTGGGAAAAGTTGGCGCCTAGAAGCAGCCCTTTTCCATGCGTTGGTTGGCTGACCTTGACCCAAAACACGCCCAAAAAAGCGGCCACGGCATGGCAAGCAGTGTTCTTGCGCAAATTTATCACTTCGGCCCTTCAGTTCACACGTACAAGGAAAAAAAACATGCGCTATCTGCCCAGTCGACACGCCTCTACTCTAACAACTCGAACAAGTATCAGAGCCGTCTCAAGACGGCTCTTTCCACACGTGTACAGCTTCTTTGTCTCACAACTCCCGGAGAATTGTCTCACGGCGGTTGAAGACGTTGATGAAAATCCATACTACTGTGAAAGCAAGTAAGAAATTGCAACAAGTGCACAGCTTACACATGAGCCACATGGGTGTTACACAATTAAAAAGAAAGTAAGCAAGCAAGCAAGCAAACAAACAAACAAGCAAACAAAAAACAAGCAGAAAAACAAACAAACCATCCATCCATCCATCCATCCATTCCTCCCAACAAACTTGTTCTGAACCCAGCCCTTCAAGCTACCAAGCAGCCTGTGAAGCTCCTGCTGCTCCAAGTGGTACAAGAAGGTCTCGTGCCGCGGCATGCCCTGACCAGACCCAAACAGCAGGGCGCGGTCGGGTGGGATGGCTTTAGCGCGAGTCGGTGACTGGAGCCGTTTCTCTGCAAATTACTCCCTGGCTCGTCGTTTTTTTCTTCGGATAAACGCCCCGAAATGGTGGTTTGTGGGTGTCCCTTTAAAACTACGAAGAAGCGAAAAAGGGGCACCCCTCACGCAAACCACAGACCCATAGACCCATATGTGCCATGTTCAAACTCCCAAGGGCCTATGATGGTTGGACTAGGTGGGTGACCATCCCTGTTATCCCCAAGTAAAGGAACCAGTCTTGTGGTTGTATATCTAATATGGCCATGGGCTTTTCAAATTCCAAATCGGTTAGCCCCCCCCGACCTTCCCAATCCAACCCAAAAATATGTTCTAAAATGGGTGGTGCACCTACCATTGGTTTTGACCCACAGCCATATGGAACCTGACAAGGAGGTCCCCCAAAAGCAAACTCTGATTCAGGTCCTCTCACGGCCCACACGCCGCCCACCACAGCGCGAAGAAGCCAAAAGCCAGGCATCCCCCAAAAACCAAGGCGAAACCACCAGAAAGCACGGCATTTGCGATGTTGTTTTTTTCTTTGTTTCTTTCGCATGTGGTGCTGCTCCACTCTCGTGGGAAAGCCGCTTGCTAGATCAGAAGAAGCGTCCACGGGCCAAATTTTGGCAGGAATTTTTGGCAGGTTTGCATAGTGCTGAGTGATGCCGCAATGCTGGGCATGCTGAGGATGTTGGCGAAGGGGTGGGTTGGCGGGTGCTGCCCACTCTCAGGACCAATTTTGACGGTAACTTTTGACAAACTGGCATTGGGAGTCTGTGGTGGGGCTGGGGATGTCGGGGATGTTTTGAGTCCAAATGGCTTGTGTCCGGATGATGCAAGGAATGCAGGGGATGCTGAGCAGTCAGCCATACTCGCCCTTAGCTGGATTTCATCAATCCGTACGAACTCCCAACATAGCCTGGCGGCTGCTGCCTTGCGCATCCTCAGCCTCCATCAGCATCCAACAGCAGTGCCCTGGTCGTCACCGTGCCCAGACTGGCAACCAAAATCGCTGCGAGCAATAGGACCACGGCCGTCAAAGGATGAGAATAGCAAAAAGCCTCTGCAGGTCGCCGACAGATTAGCAGCAAGAGGCAGCATCGCCGCGGATTCAAGCAGCCATCCTAGCAAAACACCCCATATCATAACCAAGGCCATGGGGACAAAGCCAACTAAAGGCCCCATGCTTGCGTGATCCCAAAAAAGCACTGGCTGGGAGCCGAAGCCAAGCTACGCCTTTTTAGATCTGAAGCATTGCCACATTTAGGGATCCACCAAGACGCCCACCCCGAAAGCTTCGGCTTGTTTTGTGCTCTCTGAAGGCCTGGCAGCTGCTGCCAAGAGTCAAGCTCGGTATTTGGAATCCTGAAAATGAACACGGGTCAGCACGTAAACTACGAACCCCGTGGATGCCGAAATTGCCCTGGTCGATGTTCAATCCTTGAAGGACGCAGGACGCAGGATTGAGAGATGAAAACTGCAGTTCTCAGCAGGTCAATTGGGTCTGTCCTTTTTGAGGGTGCCCTTTGGACGGTGTTAAAAGGAAACCAAACAAAAACCGCCCGTTTGGGGGGGGGGGGCCAATGCAGACTTGAGGAGGAAAAGAACAAGCCCAGTTGTACAGAGACCCGTCTGCCGATGATAGATTTGGCCCTCTTGGGTCTCGATCAATGGTATCAAATGAGACCCAAAACCACTACCATAACAGGGAGGGAAAAGGTGGGGTGTCCAGGACCCAATTCCATTTCCCTCGTCTTCCCCATCAAAAGGAACATGAAACTAGGCTACAGCCATTTGACAGGCCCACCAATCCCTTTTGTCTCATTTTACAACTTGTAAAACCTAGAGGGTCATTAGATTTCCCCTTCAAAGGTTGCAGTTTACTGGTGTCCATAAAAAAGCGATGCACTTTTGGACGTTTCAAAAAGGGAAATGGAGAAAACTCGTGGACGTACCAAGTGCTTTGATACCGATGTTGGATGGCCTGGGGGTCACCACGTTTCCCGCGCCTCCTGCCCCGGCAGCGGCACGTTCTGCTCTGGCGAGGACGGCTCAGTGCGGCCTGGGTTCCGGTCGTTTGGGGGCAAAGGCTGGGGAGACAAACCTAACTGCTTGCTGCACAGGGAAGTAGTCCGAACGAATCCGAATCCGAATTGGTCTGAGCACGAATCCGCCAGCGACCAGTAAACGGACTTTGCGAGCCAAACAAAAGCACAGCAACAACCAGGACCCAACCAAGGGGATGATTGACATGGTTAGGGGGTGCTGGAACTTGTGTCCGACGGCACCGAGCCGATTGAGAAGATCCGATGGCATCGAACGAGTGAATGTTCGGTTTCTCGTGTTCCACACTGACACTTTGACTTGTTTTTGTTGGTGATTGTTTGGTGATGTTGGGGGGGGTTGTTGGTGATTCGGGTGGTGTTGTGATCCTGGTCATGATTGTTGGTGACTCAGTGATTCTAGTGATGGTTTAGCAATTTTGATGTTTTGGTGGTGAACCCACACTTCCTACCGGCGAAAACGGTGAGACAGTAGCTCTCGAAGCATTGCTCAAGTCATCTCTCGGCGAGCTGACTGAGCTGACGGCTGGGCGAGGAGGACGTGTTGGTCGCCACATCCTCGCCACATGCGAGCCAATTGTCTCACGTCACCATCCATTTCCTTACAGAACTCCGGCTCCCTCTGTAGACCGGCAAAAATTTTCGGAGCTCCCGAAGGGCTCCCATCCAACCAGCTAGGGACTGGGGACCCTGGCGAAACACCTGCTTGGCACGACCCGAAGGTTTCTCCGAGAGGACATGGGGGCATTTAGGCTTTCCCGGGTGCTTGCTGGCTGAAACTTGGCGAGTGCCCTCGTTCCCCCTCCCAAAAGGAATGCACACCTTCGGACATGGGTGGCTCGCCCTGTTCCGGATTTGGACCCCCCTTGATGGTGTTCCTTTTGGTTCCCCACCCCCCAAAAAATAAATAAATAAATAAATAAATAAATAAATAAATAAGCAAGTAAATAAATGAATCAATCAATAAATAAATAAACAAATAAACAAACAAATAAATAAAGCCACCTAGAAAAAAGAACGCCCGGGTTGGATCCGGCCCCTGCTTCTCCCCCACCTCTTTGACCTTGGGCCAAAAACGAAGCCGGTGGGAGCTTGGAGATCACGTCTGGGGTTCTTGAGGGACATGGCTCGTCTTTGCATAGAAACTTGCACCAAGACCCACAAAAACATGGTAACATGGCGCTTCTTTGTTGGTGTCCCTTTGAAAAACCGCCCAAAGAAAAAAATGGCCCTCGAACAGAACACTAAAGAAAAAAACGAGACACCCACAAAACGCCACCTGGGGGAACTGGTCCCCGCCAAAGAACACCTCCAAAAACAGCACCGAACCGCTCGACTCAAAAAGCCCCGGATCTCGAGCGCTCGCGGAGTCCTCCTCCGCGCCGTGGCCTCGAGGCGAAAGAATGGCGCGCCCAAAGGGCTCTGATACGTTTTTGTTGCTTTAAGTTTTTTTTTTGGTTGTCTTATTTGTTTTTGTTGTTTAAAAAAAATGTGTGTGTGTGCGTTTATATATATATATATATATGTGTATATATATATATATTTGTTTGTTTTGTCTTCTTCCTTTTTTTCTGGTTGGGGGGCTTAAAGGGGGCGGTGAAGGGCAACCAGCTTAAAAGGGCGGGTTGTTTTCAGGGAAGCCCCACCATTTTGGGAGGCCCCAGCCAGATCCCAAGAGGCAACGGACCGTTTGAAGTGTCCATCGAAACCACTTGTTGGATTGGTGAGAAGGCGAAGGCGGTACAATTCCAGCCCGTCGAATCGAGCTGGCCTCCACGAGAACCGGAGAAGAACTGTCATAGTCCCAAGCGAGAGCGGTTGGGACTACCCGCCTTCCGCGTCTCCGTCCGCCGAGTGCGTGTCATCCTCGGCTGCTCCAGACTTGTGGACAAAATCGAATCTGCGCGCCAGTTTGGGCGGTTTATACCAGTCACAGGGTTTCATCCATTCCACCCGGCACCGATCAAAAGGTGCCTTTTTCCTGCATCGTCAAAGTCGCCAGCCAACCAACCAACCAACCAACCAACCAACCAACCAACCAACCAACCAACCAACCAACCAACCAACCAACCAACCAACCAACCAACCAACGAAACCAGCCTCAGCAACCAAACAGTACGGAAACCACGCTCATCTTGTTTCTCTTTTTTTCCCTGAAGAGAAAAAAAAGGGGGAGGAAAACACACATCGACCCTCCTTCCCATTGCACCGCCCAAAAACGCACCCGGGCCTGCGGCTTCACAGCCAAGTCAGGGCGCATCCAGTTGGGCACCGAGTACCGGGGCGAGTCCTGCGCGAAACCGCGAAACGGCGCAGGACTCGGCGGGGCCCAGAAAGGGCCAAGGGCCCCGAATCTTTGTGTGGGTTTCCCTTTGATACCACAAAGAAACAAACACCTGTCAAAAAAAAAGAGACACAGACACAGAGACACACACGTTGTTCGGTGTTTGCTTCTTTGAAGCACAAAGAAAACGACGATCCGCCTCCCAAGAAAGGAGACACCTTGTGGCCCAGCGCCAGCACAGAAGGCAAAGGCCCAGCCAAAGGCCGGAAGGCAATCTCGAGGCAGCGCTGGTGCAAGCACACCCACCGTTGCAAGCCCCAGCGAGGAACCCCAAGGTGATGATGCAGAAGGGCCAAACAAGAAGTCTCGCAGACCTGCACCCACCAGACGGATCATTTGACCCTCCAGACGGGGGGTTCCCCGACAAGATGACATCATGTTTTTGTTTGATCCCACCCAACACGTGGTAAGCACCCCCGCCCAAGTGATCCCACCCAACACATGGTAAGCACCCCCGCCCAAGTGATCAACACGTGGAAAGCACCCCCGCCCAAGTGATCCCACCCAACACATGGTAAGCACCCCCGCCCAAGTGATCAGTTCTTCTTCTAAAGACCCGATCGAGCACAGAAACCTGCTGGCTATGCACTTTCTGAATAAAAGTCCTGGCCTTGAGGCTGTGGCTGGTGCATTGGCCTTTTTTGCAGCAAAGCAGCTGCCGGAGTTGTGTCTCCGGCGAACTGCTTCAAAGGTCCTTTGTGAAAGTGCTGAAAATGCAAGAGTGCTGCCGCGCTGGCCTTCTACATCCAATAATCTCAGCGATGATGTTCATGAAGCATGCCACAAAAAGTAGACGACCCTCACTTTGTCAACTTGCAGGGGACTTGCATTTGTACTGTTTTTTGCAGTGTTTCCAAAGCCGCGTCCATTTCACATGAGCCCTCGCAGTGTTTTGTGACGTTTCCAATGCACTGAATAACAAGTTTGTGTTGAAAACAGCTGTTTTCCGAGTGTTGTTGCTCGATGACCATCCCGAACATGATCCTATTATGTTCGCGAGCTTCGAAGTTGCTTCTTAAACAATATCAGCCTTGAATCCTTGAATTCTCTCTGTAAATGCTAATAAAGCAGGTTGCCCTGTCTGCTTCCACCCGTCTGTCTCGGGCAACGTCCGGACCGTCAGTTGAACCCTGCCTCTCAGTTTGTTAGCGGGTCCGTTCAGTCGAAAGGCGATACTCGACGTGTCCCATGTAACCTTCCAACTTGTTGCGCTGCTATTTTGGTCTGGCTGCGAGCGATACGCCGCTACGCCTGTGCCGGACCGCACGCTTTGAGTCAAGGTTTTCTTTTGGCCTAGCAGGGACATTGACACCTAGCGGTTGCCCTTGCTTTTCATTTGGGTATGGGTCAAACTTAAACCACCAAGCCGCAGGTGTAGTCCTCGGTTCCATCTGGCCGGGCAACCCATTTTGGGTTTACCCTATGTTTGACAACCACAGCCAAATTCCGTCTTTATTCACTCACCACACAACCCCCCAAATTATGCTGTCCCCTGTGTGACTTTCACAAACGCGCTCGCCATCTAAGCCAACCATCAGAACCTGGGCCGGTGGACTATCTCAACTCGGCAACCCTTTTTGGTGAAGGGACGCCAAAAAGAAACCCACCAAGCATTGGCCCGGATTTTGCGAAACACCCATGAAGATGTTCCTGAAACTGGTTTCTGAGACCCAGCAGAAAGAAGCACGGTCAGACAGTTAACTCCCCAACACCCAAGTATTGCCAGGAAGATACACTGGAAGCAGATGGCAACACAATGCGAAGAACAAAAAAAAGTCGGGCTGGAGAGGCGTGGCGTTTCTTTCATCCATCTTTTTCTTTTCAGCTCCCCCCAACCCCCCCCCCCTTCCCAAAAACAAGGCGGAGAAATCCTTAAAAACAGCGAAGAGAAAAACTCGGAAAAGCATAGAACCACCCCCTCCAAAGAGACACGCCCGCGTTTCAAACCAAGAAGAAAAAAAAACCTCTCTCTCCTGCACCTGCGAGCTGCGATTGCTGGAGTTCCTGGAGCCATGGCTTCCATCGAGCGAGGGTTTGCGAGGCTTTGAGGCTTGGAGCCTTGGGGTGGCCACATCCTTTTGCTGAAAAGGCTACCCTTCGCCTCGGCACTCGGCGCCTCGGCGCTTTTTTCTGGTGCATTTGGTCAAAGGGCCACCAAAAGGAAAACCGACGCCGGGCTGAAAAGTGACACACCCAGATCCATTGCACGCTTTCTGTACCAAGCGGGCCAGTCTCTCCGTATGTTTTACGGAAAGTGGTAACTTGACCAGAAAAGGGCAAGATCCGTTTGCCCAAGTAGTTTGTTTGCCCAGTCGCGGAGCCTCGGCGTCCCATTCTGCGACCCAGATTGGATAGGTGTCTTTGTTCCTTGGACCCAAGAGAAAGTGTGGTTTTCCTTGTGTCAATTAAAGCCATCCAAGAAGGGATCGAACAAAGACACACCGGTGTGTGGTTTCAAGGGGACCTCCCAACTTGGTGGCTTTCCTTTTGGGTTTTTCCGTCAAAACAGCAACAACAAGGGCACCCTCAACAAAAGAGGCGCCCGTGTAGGGATTGAACATGAGCTTTGGCAAACATTCCCCCTCAAACCTGGAGGTAACCAAACTACCTAAATCAGCATGAAAAACACTCGCTACCTGCCCAGATGTCGCGATTAAACACATGTCCCCTACTAAACTTTATGGCTACCTACCCCCCAGATTCCCTTCTAAGATGGACCAAACAAAAGGGAGGTCGCACAAACACGAGGGCCATCTGGGTGAGCCAAACCATAGCCAAATCCCGGACTTTGGTCCAATGATGTTAGCTCTTAAGCCGCGCCTCGAAGAGTCTATCTCACACGCCGTGGTGTCTTCATCTGCCTCGCACGGTCGAAGCTTGCGACTGCCTGGGTTCAGGTCCCCGGCCAGTGAAAAACTCCACCCCCCTCGAATGGTCTTGCCTTTCCGTTGGGAATATGTTGAGGAACCTGGGAAAACACACAGGGATTGACTACCTGTGAGGGGTTGACATCAAACAGAGCTTGGTATTTGGAGAAGGCGGCACCTAACTGAACCGTCCCGAAGCCAACTCATGGGCCTGTCTCCAACACATGTAACTTGGACTACTTGGCTGTACCAAGTGAAATTTAAAAAAGAGAGTCAGAGGAGTATGTCGTCAAACATCGGGGTTGACACCCCCTGTTTCGCGTGGCTTTTGGCTTACCCCTTTTTTATGGACCCTAAGGGTACCACGCCCGGATCCTCAAAGCGTCCGGCTCGTGCGACCCAACCGACCCTATTCCAGGGTTGTCCCAAAAGAAGGCTCGGACGAAAAGTTCAGATCGGGGTTCGGGTCCCTTCCCTTTTCCCGGTCAGGGGGGTTCAAAGGTCCAAACAAACCCAGGTCCATCCGGCAACCAGAACCAGCCTTTGGAAGCCACTGGTTGCCTGCGGCAACCGACAAAGCATCGCCGGTCCCTTCCCCCTAGCCGCCTTGCCGTCGGTTTTGCGGCCTGCAAGGGAGCGATTCTCCCCCACCAAAAGTAAAACCCCCCTTGGAACTGAGTCGAATCCCAAAAAAAGTACCCCCAACCCCACACCACCCAGAATATGAGTCGAAACCTCACAGTTCTCCCGTGCAAAATCCCCCGTCCCCCCGAAATCGCTCGAATTGGCCAAGAAGCCCCCGGCTCATGCAGTTTCCCATTGCCAGACAGGAACGCTGAGGCTCCCGAAAGTGTCAAGCCAAAGCCACCTTGTGGTCATATTGTTTGACGGCACATGCGAACGCCCCCGACTTTGGGAGTTTTTCCCCACTCCCTAGCGCTCCCCATGGCCAGGTGCCCAATTCAGATGGCAAGCCTTACACCACGGTGGCTTTCACGGGGGATGCTCCGCTTCCCTCGCTTCGCGCCTGATGGCTCCGCAAAGTGACGAGGGCCTTGGAGAGCGAGAGACGCTCTCGGCCGTCCCTGCGTTGGTACATTGGTACCCCTCCGGTTGCAAAGGGAAACCAAAAGGGAAAGCCGTTGCGGCATTTGGGGGTTCAGCCTAAAGATACGTTGAAGTGAAATTGGCTTTGTGGCTTTCCATCCCTCTATAAAGGGTTCAAATCCCCAATCCAAACTATGTGAGGATAAGCTGGCGATTTTTTGGATACATGGGATGTCTCTGGGTGATAAGGGCTTGTCTTAAATGGCTTCTGATTGCGACCAAAGGACGATCATGTGTGTTGGTGTGTGTGTGTGGAATCAATTGAACACATTTAGGGTCGTGCTGGCTTTCTTTAGGTCAGGATGACTCTTCAAAGCACCACATTGGTGCTACTGGTACCTTAATCGCGAAACGGTGCATCCTTTACGCCGCATAAGGATTAGTGCCAAAATGGGAGGATTGCCCAGCTCCACTGGGCAGCTCCCCTCAGCAGCTGATGGGAGTAGAATTGATGCCACTCCCACAGCGAGGGAGGAATCCTCCCACCTCACCGGATGCCCTCCCGGCATCATGGGTGAGGAAGGAAAGTAGCGAAGATCAGCTTGATCAATTCGCTTTCGACTGAGGGGAAGACCCGGTTCTCAGTCGGAAATTGCGGGTCCGGATGAGTAAGTTCATCCGCCCATGTGTTAAAGTCGCGCTTCACATGCGACGGTCCTAACATGACCTGGTGGTCATGCAGTGTTAACACAATTTCCATGAGGATGGCCGCATTGGGCATCCTGCGAGTGGAATCGTTAAGCAGGGAGAAAACGTTTCCCTGGTTATCACTAGCAACCAGAATCCTAGTGTGAGAAGCCGAGCCGGCTGCACAAAGCAGAACAGCCCTCACCAAAAGGAGGAGGCCGAAGAGCTCCAAGGCCGCTATCGCCCGCTGCGGGTCCCCAGTAGTGAAGGCCCACGGCTCGCCCTCCGGTGTGATTCTGTGTTGGAACCACTTCACTCGGGACTTGTCGGGGTTGGGCACGTCCGAGCACCAACCACCAACCCATGCATGGTCCGCCTGTTTGCCAGCTCCCGCATCAGATGCCCCCGTCCATGGAAGTGTGGGAGCAAATGGAGATGCCAGTGGGAACCTCTGGTTGAAGAGCTTCCCCAGAAGGATGGCCAGAGCACGAACCAGCTTCGGTGGCCTGCCCGAAGTGGTGCAGGCCTTCTTCCAGCTCCAAAAGGGCTGGAGGAAAGGCACCTCCTTGCTGGTAAAGATGTCCCCCTGGGCCAGCCGTTTGAGAGTGGCCAGGATTATGACGTGCTTGACTGGAGCCAGCAGCACACAGGGCGTGATTGGGTCCACCACGAATCCCAACCAGGTATTGACCGGGGAGAGCGCCGTCTTCTTCCAAGAAAGCGGGACTCCCAGCGCCAGAAGAGTGGCCAGGATGGCTGTGGCGTCCCAGTCCGCCCTGCTGCATCTGAGGACCCAGCAGTAGTCGTCCACAAAAACTAAGTGCCAGTCCACCTGAGGGAAGATGTAGTACAAGAGTCTGAGCACCAAGGATGCCTTTCTTCCCCAGTACAGTTGTGCCGAGGCCATGCCGTACGTGCCCACTCTATTGACCCACCACCGGTTCTGGATGCAGGCCACCTGGTATTTCCAGTCTTTCTGGAGCACTTTTATGCGCCTGTGGGCCTTGGTGACATCCGCCTTGAGGATGATGAAGGTTTCCCCCTGTGTCGGCGGCTGCCACGTCAGGGGTTCCCCCCTGCTCCCCCCAGGGCGTTCCGTGCCTGGGGGGGTTGGGGGGAATGGGGCCCTCCTATCAGGGCCCTCGGCACCTGGGAGTGGCCCCTTCCCTGAGGGTGTTGACCGCGGAGAGACGTCCAGGCCGCCCTCGGCACCTGGGGGCAGGCTGGTGCTGTGGGGGTCCCTCTCAGGGCCCTCGGCACCTGGGGACTGCCCCTGCACCGGCTGGTGAACATCCCGAGGTTCCTCATCAGTGCCCGAGGATGGGGCTCGGAGTAGATGAGGATGGTCCGCCGCTGTCCTGAGCCAGTGGATGGCATGGAGGCAGTCTCCAACCATCGGTGCGGTGGTCTTCTCCTCCGTGTGAGCCTGGATGTGTGCGTTTGCTCCCCCTTTTGAGCCATCATAGATCGTCCTGATCTTGTCCGACTCATCAATCCCTGCAAGGGGGCCCGGGCAAAGTTCCTCCGGTTTGCAGCGGCACCTCTCTGCCGCCTCGGAGCGAGTGAAGGGCCCGTCCACCATGTCCAAGGCTCGTTCCTCGTAAAAGGTTGATTCGATTTCCTTGGCAAAGAGTTCAGCCGTTGGGTAGTTATCATGAGCCACTGGCGGGGGGGGATCTTCCCCCAGCCAGGCTTCTCCCTTAAGCTCCTCCTTAGTGGGCCAAACTCCCGGGGAGGTCAAGGTAGGGTCCGAGACTCCCAAGGGGACCCCCTCTTTCAGTGTTAGGGGGAACTCCCAATCAGGGTCACCTGAAAGGGATGCCAAGTGCGACACTAAGTCCAGGAGGAAGGGTTGTCCTGGGCATCGTTCATGGAGGTGCCTCGGTCCTAGGATAGCCCGCAGCTCCTCGAGGTCGGCTTCCTGGAAGGGGTGTGTGGTGGCACCTGATGCCAGGGACATTCGGACCTTGTCAATCCAGGGCCGGGTAAGGGTCATGATCAGGGCGCCCAAAGTAGCCAATGGGGAAATTCTCCGAAAAGGGGGGTTGAGCCTCCCTGGGGAAGGTTTTCCCCCCCCATCCCTCAGGGGGCGTGAGCGGAAACCCAATTGGACAATCGCCACCCGGTCAGTGAGGTGTGGGACCCTGAAAGCGGGCAGGCATTCGGGGCGGTCCAGGACCTGGTCCCCCTGTCCCTCCTTCCCCAGTTGTTCCGCATCTCCGGCCATCGGGGGCATGGGAGATGGGAAGTCTGGGTTCATTGTTCCACGAGGGCTTACGGTGTCTGCCTCAGGGTGGAACTGCCCGTGCAGGCGGGGCTTCGGGGCGTTCTTGCCTCCGGGCTTTGAGCCCTGGTGTGATGAGGAGGGACCGCCTCCTTGACTGGGCCCCCGTTTTCCCCGGGGGGAATGGCCTTCCGGGGGGTCCGACCCCCGCCCCTTAGGTGGTTCCTTGGGGTTTCCCGGAAATTGTGAGGGGATCCGGATGTGCCCCGGCGCTGCGAGTGACACAGCGATGGCTTTGGCCAGGCCTGCCATCATATCCCAAGGGTATCTGCTAAGAGTCGAGGACTCGTTGGTGCCCACATGTGACTGATGCGTGCACCGCATTTGATCCCAGTCCTGGATCGGGAGATCCGTGGCCAGCGTAGTGGCCTTCTTGACCAGCTGGCCCAGGCGGCACTGGTCGAAGGAGATTGCTGTCAAGGAGTTCTCCTCCATCCAAAGCTGCCCCTCCTCTGTGATCCAGAAGGATGAGCATTCCTTGGCTTTGGGCAGCGAGCTGCTCACCACTGGGTCCTCCGGGTGTTCCAGGAAGGACCTGGGCCCTGGCAGAGAAACCGCCGCTCGTGAGGCCCTTGCCAGGCTGGTGATGTACATCTGTCTCAGAATGAGGATGCTGTCATCATCAAGTTGAGTCTGGGCGGCCTGGTCCAGGTGTGGAAGGCCCCAAAGTGTCTCTGGAGTGCGCCCTCGCACCGGGGTGGGAGCCCCCGGTTTTGGTATGTGGCGCAGGATGGACCATGTCCTGCAGTTGGGTCCTCCTCCAATGAAGACCACTCGGCCCTGCTTTGCTGCCGTGCAAAGAGCTCCATACAGCTCGGGTTGGAGCATATCGTGGTCCCCTTTTGGTCCAGACCGTAGGATGTCTACCGCCACCACCATGCTGGAAAGGTGTGGGTAGTTGGCATGAAGACAGCTGTCCAAGGAAGTTGGGTCTTCCTTGCCTGCATAGAGCAGGACAATGATGGGCCCACTGGATGGAACTTTGGGCGATGTGCCCTGTGTCCATCTCAGCCGCTGTACCAGACGCTCAGGGATGTTCTCCATCCACGGGAAGATGTCCAATCCCGGTGACGGCTCCGTTGGACTTGTCAGGGGGGTAGCTGAAAGGCGTTGGCCCCCTTCATTCAGCCCCACCGAGCTCTTGTGGAAAACCACCGGGTCCTGCTTGATGATGTTGGGCGCCGGAAGTGGGATCGGCTGCTTCCTGGGAGTGTCCCTTGGCGTTGCGGTGTGCTGCCAGTCATCCGGCACTCGGGCCTTCTGGGTGCGGCCCCCCGTGTCAGGGCCCTCGGCACCTGCGGGGAACCGTCTGAGGCGCCGCCGTTGTGCCGGTTGTGTGGCTGTTCTGATCACGGCGAGGGCGTTGTGCACGCTGGTTCTGCCGTCCCCATCCTTGTTCCGCCGAGGATGGCCGCCACCTGGCCTGTCCCCCCCCTGTGTCAGGTTTTCGGCACCTGCAGGAGGGGGCTTCTGTGCCTGCTTGGGGCGTTTGCGCCCCTTCTCGCCCCCCCGGGCCTTGTCAGGGCCCTCGGCTGAGGCCTCCCGGGGGGTAGGGGTCAGCGCCCCTAGTCAACCCGGGCAGTCCTGCGGGAGGTGGTCCCCCAGGCAGATGCGGCCCATTGCCAGGATGAGGTTGCACTTGTGGGTGCGGCCGCAGTTGCCCGGGCAGCGCCCGCGCATCCAGTTGTTACAGAACTGGTTCCCTTTCGGGTCGGTGGCTGCCTGCTTGTTACCGCCCCGGGACGCCTGATTGTTCGGGTGGGGGGTCTTACCGTACGTTGAACACTGCCGGACAGTATAACTGTTAAACATGCGACGCAGATAGATAAACAGATGGACAGATAGATAAATAGACATATAGATCGATAGAGAGAGAGAGAGAGAGATAGAAAGATAGGTAAGTAGAAAGCTAGATATGTAGATAGAGAGATAGGTAGGTAGGCAGGTAGGTAGGTAGATAGACAGATAGAGAGACAGAGAGGGAGAGAGAGAGAGAGAGATAGATAGAGAGAGAGAGAGAGAGATAGTTAGGTAGG